ATTCGGGTGCTATTCGAAAAGTGCACACGAGAGGGCGACACAAGTTTTCCCAGTCGCATAGACAGAAGTATTATTCCCCAAATTTCCACGAGGTGGCAGCAAAGACCACATTTTTCCTGGCTTAAGCTTTCTACCTGTTCTGCATTAAAATTAGAATTCAACCCTAGCTGATGTGGCTCAGTGTATTGAGTGCCGGTCTGCTAATGAAAGGGCCGCTTTGTCGATTCCCAGTCAGGGCACATATGTGGGTTGCTGGCCAGGTCTCCAACTGGGGGCGCACAAGAAGCAACGGCACGTTGATGTTTCTCTTCCTCTCTCTCCCTCCCCCTCTCTGAAAATAATCAAATGAATAAAGTCTTCAAAATAAATTTTTTTTTTATTAAAATAAAATTGGACTTCCAAAAGAAAATCCAGACTTGGTTACAAGCTCATCCTATTTGCTTGATGAGGCAGGAACAACAGGAACATCTGTCAACTGCATTTTACAAGTATTTAAACTGAAGATTCATTCTAACCTAGTTTGAAGTCTAGAACCCAGGCCTAAATGGGCCCAGGTGGGCCAGAACAACATGCACACACACTGTCCTGAGCAAACACAGTAACCAAACAGTGCTCACAACTTTGGGTTAAATCCTGGTCCTTCGTTTAAGGAAAATTTGCACATACCTAATGATCCAGCTTGCCACACACTCGCCCCCTCTGGTGTTTGGGGTGGGACCTGGGCAGGCAGCTGCGAAAGGGGCAGGTGGGGAGGGAGGCGGTGGTTTGGCCCTTTGCAGGAGCACAGCCAGCACCAGATCCCTGTCACAGTGACTTCCCCACTTCTGCTCCCTGCCCGTCCCCTCTGGCCATTTAAAATCTGTTCTATCCAGAACACCGGTCTGCTCCTGCCTGTGTTCCCTTCCTCTGAGGCCTCACCTGACAAGAGCTCCCTAGAGGCTCAGAATGGACTCTAGGGCAGCAGTTTCCTTACAGGGAAGAGCCTGAGTGCCAGGCAGGCGCAGAGCTGACTCCTGGCACCACCCACCCGCTGCGTGACTTCAGGCCAATAAATGGAGACTCGGCCTCCTCCTCTGCCAGATGGGGATAACCCCCCATCTCAGTGCGGCTGTGAGGACTGAGTGAGGTGGGGCGCGTAGCTCCTGCACGTCCCCCTCGGCTCAGGCCGCGCCTCCTCCCACCGGTCCCCTCGCTGCTCCCTCTGCTCCCCGACCTGTCCCATCCAACCCGACCTCCACCTGTGACCGGCTGACCTTTCAAAGGTGGGGATCTAATCCTGTCACTTCCTGGGCATAAGAAGCGGTTATTTCTGAGAGATCACTGAAATTACTCATAACTCACTCATAACTCATAAGCCATGATTTTTAAAGGATTTCACTCATCTCCGGGATGTAGAGAAAGGGGTCTGAACCAAGAAAGTACATATTCTGATAGAAAACGTAAAATTCATTGTAACTACAAAAGTATTATTACGTTGTCATGGGCATTTTAATATAAGTTTCCACATATTGGATTGTTTTCCTCGTCTGCCGAAGCACAAAGTAAGTGCTTTAAAACAACAGCAATTCAACGTCTCTCTGTTCTGGAGGCCGGAAGTCCAAACCGCCGGTGTGGGCAGCGCCTCCGACCCCTGAGAGGGTTCCTGGCTTCGGGGGGTTGGCGGGCCCCTCGGGGCCCCTCGGGCTGTCCTGTCTCCGCCCCGGAGCCGCTCAGCGTCCCTCTGCGCCCCTCCGCCTTCTGCTGTCTTCCCGAGAGCACTGGTCACATTGGATTAGGGACCCCCCTCAGTGAGGAGAACCACATCTTCACTCGCTCACATCTGCAAAGACTCTTATTTCAAATAAGGTCACGTTAATAGGAACAGAGGGTTCGGATTTTAACGTATCTTTTGCGGGGTGCACAATTTACCCCATAGCAACAGTGCGATGTAATCGTGCCGGTCCGGTTCCAGCAGTTCTTCACTGTCAATGCCGGGCGGCGCTGAGCCTGCGGTGCAGGACTGTATTAGTTCTCTCTTGTTCCAAGTTCCTAAAAGAGATATGCTGCGATCGTAACTGTTAATTATTCAGATTATGACAAATTTATGTTTTTATTTCTCTCATTTCTATTGGAGTATGGATAGCAGAAAGCTACTCTGGATGGCAGTAATAGAAAGAACCAACCACCCCCCGTACAATAATATCCAAGAAAGGCTTGTATCCTATACATAACTTTGTTACACTTTACAAACCTAAAACATAGACCATATGACTATAAAACCTAGCTAGCATGTAGCACTGGGAGAAAAAATTCTTATGTCCTTCTACTTCTCTGGCGAAGGGGTACTCAGCTAATCTGGAGTCCAGCTTCCTCTTCCCAGGTCAGAAGTTACTCGAAGGGCAAACTCACACACAGTTACTGACTCTGCAGGTAGCACCACCACCTTTTTGGTTTCAGGGATCCGGAGCAAAAGGAACAACATCAGCAGGCCTTAGAAACATTTGAATGGGTGTCAGACTAAGAATATGGCATCTTCTTCCACAGAAAACTAACAAAGATTACAGACATCAACTACCTTCTGGAAGAAGCAACGTGGTCTTTGAAGGACCACTATAGTTCTACTAAACTAGAGGATTGGCCTAGTGATGGGAAAGTTAGTATCTTCCAGATGAAACCACATGACTATTGGTCCACCATGGGGTGCTTTTACATTCAGCTGTTACCAAGGGGTGTGTGGTCTTGGAAATGGGGGTGTTAGGGAATGAAGCACAAAGAACAAAATCCTTACAATAAATACAGATCTGTGCATTAAAAATATGCCTAAATTTAAACAAATCTTAGGTTAGTTCTTGAAGATGATTAGTCATCAAATGCAAAGAAAGCAAAAATTGCTACTCACTCAGGCTCTGCTGAAGTTAGTACCAATTCTTTTTAAATTTTTAAAATTTTTATTTATTTACTTTTTTTTTTTTTTTTTTTTTTTTTTGACAGCGGGGAATGGAGGGAGAAAGGGAGAGAAATATCAATCAGTTGCCTCTTATCTGCTCCCTGACTGGGAACTGAACCTGCAGCCTACACATGCCTCCTGGCCGACAATTGAATCAGCAACCTTTCACTTTGCAGGACAAAGCCCAACCCACAGAGCCAGCCAATCAGGGCAGCGCCAATTCTCTTTTAAAGTCACTGTTACCATAACTGTGTCATCCCCACTGTTTCCCCAGGGAGGTTGTCCAGTGTTCAGGCGCATGAGAGGGACGGGGAGACACTTGAGTCTACAGTTGAACCAAAGGGGGAATCTGTGAATTCTATGGAATCTAACTATGAACAAAAATGCTAATATCGTAACTGAAAGATACTTTTAGAAGCCTCCAAAATCAAAGTACATTCTTTAGGGACTGAGATGCTTGGAGGCGTGTGTATTTCTGTGGCCACAAAGATGTTTTTATTCCTGCAGCTACACCACCTGCTTTCCTGGGTCTCCAGTTCACTATCTGCAGACGTTTAGATTTCTCATGTCAGCCAATTCCTTATAATAAATATTTCTATATACCCATCCTATTGATCCTGTTTCTCTGGAGAACCATGACTATTACACATACGTGAAGAAAGTTTGGAAACCATGCAATATGTTTTTATCAGTTTAAGAATTCACTCAAACACTTTAAATAACCATGTAGTTTGTTAGTGTAAGACAAATAATTTACTGTAAATACCTACGCTTGGAAACTGAGAGAAAAAACAGGGACTTCGATACACCTGCAGAGGCTTTTGCATAAACAGGAAAGAATGTATCACAATGCAAATCAATGAACTGTGAAAAGTGACCGGAAAACCTTGCTATATAGGATCCAGAGTCTTAAAATGATATTCTAAATAGGGGAGTGACTGCTAGTGCCAGAAACCAGTGAGAAATATGAGCAGAGGAAACCACAAAAGCATATTTCTATAATAAATAAAAGTGATACACTGACAAAAAGTTTGCAGGAAGTAGTTACCCAGACATACTTTTGTAGAAATAGCTGCATTTGAAATATATGTAATACTTCTTCATACTGCTGACTAGAAAGTTTTCTCACTTGAATTCACAAGACTGAAATGTTGACTATCATGAAGAAGAAGAAAAAAAGACGGCCTATGAACAATGTTGAAAGGAAAGTAGATGGCCTGAGGATTAACTTAAAGTTCTCACCATGATTAATGGAGGAAATAGCACCAAACGCTGGCTTGGAAATCAATGCACATGAAGGCCAAGGTGGTCGCACACTAATACTCAATTTTGAAGCCATGAGTGATACTTGTTTAAAGTATCCACTGACCTACAGCGTAACTGTTGATGCACCATCAACCGGGGGTGTCCAACCTTTGGGCATCTCTGGGGCACACTGGAAGAAGAATTGTCTTGGGCCACGCATTAAATACATTGTGAGGCATAATCACAAAAGAAATCTCATAACTGTTTTAAGTAAATTTATGATTTTGTGTTGGGCCACACTCATCGCTGTCCTCAGCTGCTATGGTCGGACACGCCGGACACGCTGCAGGGAGGGAGGGGGTTGCTGGGCAGGACACTGAAGCTTTAGAGAGCGCTCGGTCGGCCCAAGAGAAATAAAAGGTGAGAACCAAGATGCTGAGCGTTACGGAATTCATCCGTACTTTATTCTCACTTCATAAGTCATTCTTACACTGGCTGAATTATGTTATCTCCCCAAAGCTAAGCAAATTAATGTCAGGGAAATATTAACAAAAGAATGAAATTCAATGGTTGGCATATGCTCACAATTACTTAATGATTAAAAAAAAAAAGGTGTCTACAGAATTCACACTAGAATTCCTAGTCATTTTTAAGAATTTTGGTTTCCTTCTATCACAATACACAGTCCTTATCCGCATTCTGTCAATCCTAAGTGTTTAATAAAAAATGGATTACACAGACCCATAATCTAGAACTTCAGAGAATTAGACACACCCACAGATGGCCATAGTTAGAAATTCCTCAAAATTCTAGACATCAGATTTTCAGAGAAGTGAAGGTCATTTCACATGTAGCAGCTATAGGCAATGCACCATGGGGGGAGAAGACGTCATTGACCCAACCCACGGCTGGAGGGTTCCCTGTGGGTAGAATGAGCAGCCAGAGCAGCAGCCCCTCAGTCAGAACCACCGACCCAGGAAAGGTGGTGGCTGAGGGGATGATCCAGTCTGGAAGCCCCCGGAGTCCAATAGATGGGGACAAACTTGTCTCAGGTCCTACGTCTCCCAGACAACAATTCAGGGCCTCCTTTCAAACAAGGATTTTTCCAGTCACCCTGTAGAATGTGGAAGATCTAATACCTGCCTGAGGGCGTGTGGTGAATAAAGCCCCAGCCCATTACTTCTGTGGTCAGGAGGGGCTCCAGGGAGGCTTCGTTCAAAGAGGAAGGAGCAGCAATTTGGGCACCAAAGATACAGGTCCCCGGGACACGATCTTTTTGACAACGTGGCTTCTCTGATGTTGAACAAGGTATGATGTTCAGGTGAAGCCTTTTCCACATGCCTCACACTCGTGGGGTTTCTCACCAGTGTGGATTTTCTGATGTTCAACAAGGTTTCTGTTCCTCGTGAAACTTCGCTCGCACTCATTACATTTATAAGACACGGGAGCCGCGACCTCCCCCTCCTGGCTCGCCACCTTCCCGTGACTCTCCCAAGTCTCTCCGCGCTCAGGATCCTGGACATGTCCATCGCCATGGACCCTTTGGTGTCTCAGGAGATGCGAATTCCGCCTAAAGGCTTTGCCACATGCGCTGCAGTGGTATGGCTTCTCCCCAGTGTGGATTCTGTGATGCTCAAGCAGACTGCAGCTCTGGCTAAAGGCCTTCCCACAGTCCTCACACTCGTAGGGCTTCTCCCCAGTGTGCGTCCTTTGGTGCTTGATGAGGTTTGAGCTGTGGCTGAATACCTTGCCACAGTCCTCACATGCATAGGGCTTCTCCCCAGTGTGGACTTTGGTGATGAAAGGGCCGAGCTGCCAACGAAGACTTGACAGTCCTCACATGCATAGGGCTTCTCCCCAGTGTGGATTCTCCTGTGCTTAGTCAGGCCTGAACTCTGAGCAAAGCTCTTTCCACACTCGTGGCAAACGTGCCGCCTCCTCACGCTGGTGTCCCTCTGCTTCGTCTGTAACCTGCCCTGTTCACCTGCCCCTGCTCGTGGGGGTGTCTGGGCAATGGCTTCGCCCTGGTGGCACCGCATCAGCCCCGGCTCTTGTTCCGGATGCTCCTCAGCTAGAGGCAAGTCCCTGATCTTCACCTGCATTTCACCACCTGAAAGAACAAAGGGCCAGCCGCTGTCAGTCATGCCCTGCTACAGAGGAGCGCTCTCGGCAAGAACCACAGTGGCCTCGCTCTGCTCTGCTCTGCTCTGCTCTGGACAAGGGTTTAAGCACAGGAATGGGGATGGAGGTGCAGAGGAAGAACGGGGGTGCTGCAGGGGGAAGGAGACCCGGCTCGGGAGCGGGTCCATCAGAAGAAGGGCACAGACAGGGTGAGGGAAGGGGCGAGGCCAGTGCTGGCCTCTGAGGCATGGTCAGGCAGGGCCTTGCACCCTGGACCAGACCATGAAGGGCTGGGCAGGACGGCAGGCAGGCAGGCAAGGCGCGGGCACGGACTTCTGAGCGCTCTGTACAAACCAGAGAAAGGCGGAGCTCAGGAAAGCACGGTCTCCCCTGCTCCCATCCCGGGCAGACGCGGGGTCCCCACACACAGCCGGCCTTGGTGCTGGGGGACCCGAGGAGGAACCCCACTGGAACTCAGACCAGCCAGGCCTCCTGTGAGCCTCTGCGCCCTCATCTCTGACGAGGTCAGGCTCCGTCCTCATGGCTAAGTAGCTTCCAGCTGCCTTGCTCCGGCCCCGGGCCCGTTTCCGGAAGACACCCCCCAGCTCTCCCCTCCCCGGGCTCGCCACAGAGGGGGACTCGGCTCGGACTGGGCGCCAGCTCTGAGCCAGACCCGTCCTGCCTCCTCATCCCGCTTCACCGGACTAGGGTGCAAGGCAAGACGGTTAAGGGGCTGGTCGGCGACAGGGTTCAGAAACCGTGACTCCGAATCCAAATGCCGTGGCTCTCAGTGGCTTCGAGCAGCCCAGGTGGTTCCGAGACTCAGAGGCAGTCAGGACCCTTATGAGCCCCCGGTGCCCATCCGTCTTACCCGCGGAGGTGAGAGCGCCACGGCCCTCCTGCCTTCCACCTCCACACACGTGCGCCTGAGGCGACTCCAGCTCCATCCGTGCAGGGGAGACAGTCAGAGCCACAGCTTCCATTTTCCGCAGCCCCTGAAACAACAGGGGACCCCCTCCTAGCTCCTCTGCCCAGGATGGGTCCCAGGGTTGGCCACGTGCAGGAATGCACGGTCCCCGTTTACCGTCTTAATCCTCGCTCTCATCACGGGTGTCAAGACAATAACCGCTAGAGAAGGACCTATCCCACACATTAGGAGAAGGGCTTTAATTTAATCCGAAACAGCCCAGAACGGGACAAGGGTGTGAAACAAGGGCCAGCGCAGTGAAAAGCAGGGAAGCTGCGCCCAGACCTTCTCGAGCTTATGGCTCTCAGACCCGCGCCCGCCCTCCACCTGCGGCTCGGGCTCCGCCCGCGGGCCCTGCAGATCCTCCAGCAGCGCCACCGCCTCCTCACCGCTCTGCGGGCGCAGCTCCCGCATCCGAGCCCGCAGCCCGCGGGCAAGATGCGCAGGAACCGCTCGAGCACCAGCAGCTCCAGCATCTGCTCCTTGCTGTGCGTCTCGGGCCGCAGCCACAGGCGGCAGAGCTCGCGGAGCCGGCGCAGCGCGCGGCGGGGTCCCCCGGCCTCCGGGTACCGGAAGCCGCGGAAGCGCTGGCGCGAGCGCTCGGGACCCGGGGCCTCCTCGTCCTCCGCCTTTACGGCCGGGATCCCGGCCCGGTCGTCGGCCTCCCGGGCGTCCAGGGCCGCGCCCGGGCCGCACTCGCGCGTCCCTGCACCGGAGCTGTTTCCGCAGAAGGTGCCCGGCGGTGCGAGGTCGCTGTCCGCTTGTCACTAGGGCACTGGAGCTGGGGCCCATCCACGCGCTCAAGGGCCGGGGCCACTGCCCGGGAGGACTGGCGAAGATTTGCCTTCCCAGCGTTGGGGCCCTGGGCTCCCAGTCTGCGTCTCCGCAGGGCGAACAGCAGTCCCGCTAAACGTGCTCTTCTCTGAACAGCCTTTGTCACCCCCTTAGGGCCAATGACACTTCCCACCTTCCTTGCAAATAAGTACAAAAGCATATAGAAAGGGTACGGTGACTGTGCTCCATAATAAACTTCGTGTTAAAAAAATAAAACAACAGCACTTGCACATCCTTGTTCTCTACCCTGCTGGACTAGGGTCCTGGAAACAGTTGTCATTAGCCAAATCATTTTTGTGTTCCCTGGGGCCGACACATGAAAACACCGATGAAGCTCGTTATTGTCACGTGAAAGGGCAGAGTACGACAGCCTTCGGTGCAGTCATCTCTCTCCAGGAACGGAGGAAGGGAGGCAGAGAAGGTAGCGCAGACCCACGCAGGCCTCGTAGCTCAGAGGCCCTGGCCCTGGGCCTGCCCGGCCTAGGAGGCCAGAGACGCCCGGAGCACCACGGGCTGGTGGATGAGGTGGGTTCGTGAAACAAGGCAGGGTCCGCTGCTCTGGCCCAGCAAATTCAGCCAACTCTTCACCAAGGATGTCTGAACAATTCCTAAAAATGTCTGCGTTAGGGAAAAGCAGCTGTTCCAGAGCTCCTGCTCTCCCTCCTCCCATGAGCTCCAGGATGAAGGGGACAGAGGTGGTCCATGTTCTGAGCTCCACAGGCCTCACCCCGTCCTCCCCTGGGCTCTCAGCATCTCAGGACACAGGAGAAGGTCGCAGCTAGGTGCCCTGCCCTAGGGTGCTACTTACCACACAACACCGAACTCACCTCGGTCCCCCTACAAGTCAACCCCTGACAATTCTGTGTTTCTCCTATGGAGGCTGCTGTTGTACTCCGCTGTTCTAGAGGGTAATCTGAAGGACAGCTACCTTTCCCCATCAAGCTGTATCCAGAGTGGTACAGCAGCCTGTTCTAGTTAGAAAAGAGATTCGCTAGAAGCTTACTGTTTAGTAAAGGATATGACCTTAACACAGAGACCTGACCCGTAAGCACCACACATGTGGGTGGACGGAGAGGCCAGAGGTGCTGGCTGCAACGGTGGGCGGGACAAAGGAAAACATTCTCTTGGGCCTGATCTCAAGGACCTCTGGGAAAGCTGCCCACCTTCCAGCCGGCACCGAGGCGGCAACCGTTGGGATGCGAAAGGAGCGCAAGGACGCGTGGCCGTGACCCGTGGATGTTCTGCCTTCTCTTCACCCTCCAGACTGACTCACAGGCCCTGGACTTGAACACTGAGTCACAGGTCACACCGCTCCTCAAGCGCTGCTCCTTCGGTTCTCTGTCCTGACGCCTTTCATCCTGGACCCACTTATCGCCCGAGGTGATTTCAGCGGGGACTGCTATCCTCTCCTTTCTTCTCATGATTCTCTTGTTGCTCTGACTTGCTCCCTCTGTCCTCCGTTTTCTTTAGTCTGGGCTTCGGCGCTGACTGCCACAAGCACAGCAGGGCACACCTAGCCCGGATCCCGACCCTAACAGGACACACCGCCCGCTTCCCCTCCCCAGGCTCAGGCCCCGCGGCCGAACCAGCCTCACGCCAGGCTGAGCCGTCAGCGGCTTCTCAGCCCGTTTGGTTGAGAGCATCCTGATCTCCTGGGCTCTGTCTCAAGTTTCAACTGTGGCCTCAGTGACATTCTTTGGTTTCTATGATGTTGCCTGCATTTAAAAACCGGCATTTTCCAGAGAAAATTACCAAAAAAGGGCAGTACTTCACTCCTTCAATGCACAAAATAATTCAACAAATAAATGTTGCCACATGTCTGACAAAATACAGGATACAGGAAAAGGTACCACTGGAGTTCAACATTTTCAAAGACACTTTTACACATTACTTGTTAATATAGCCTTTGAAAATCTATATGAATTTCTGGGTTTTTAAAAAATATTAATTTCATTACATGTCTCAGATTTGGTTTGGGAAAGTATAAACTGATGTGTAGTTGCGATTTTTCTGTCTTATTACTGTCCGCCCGGTATCTGTTTTTTCTGCCTCAATCCGACAGACCCACGTTGTGCTCCAGGTAGGCATGCGCAACATGTCTCCGAAAGTCTAGTAGGTCCAGGGAGGTGCCGGGGTTGCAGGCTCGGTGTAGCTGCCAGGCATTGTTCATGGCTAAATCAACCATGTAGCTCACCAGAGCTGAGTACCACTTCTTGCTCCTTATCCCCACCCTGTATTTGGAAGCGATGTGATCCATTTTAGCTACGCCTTCCCTGCATTCATCATACAGCTTCACTATGGATGGGCGGCTTATCTGAGAGGCCTCGTCATCCGCAACACTGCTTACCTCGCTGACGGGCTCTATGCCAACAGCGCTGGAGCACAGACTGGTAATGCTGTCACCATGCCAACGACACAAAATTATCTCATCGTTTTCTTCCACTCGGAAATCGAAATACCCCTTCTTCATTTTTTTCATATGCTCTGCATTCATAAGGGGACATTTTTCCATCCTGTTCTCACGGATTGTTCCTGTTGCCCTCACGCCTTTCTTCTTCAAGGCTGACACTAACTTGACACTTGTGAAGAAGCCATCGAAACACAGGTGATAGGGGTGCTGACCTCTCTCTAAAAGAACATCAGCAAAATGCATCACTAGATTTCCCCCTAAACCAAGATCAAGGTCCTTATCTGCCGCTATCGTGGATTCTTCTTGATGGGGCTCAAACCAAACCAGATACCCCTGTGTGGTGGTACCACACCAAATTTTATAGCCAATCCTTATAGGTTTCCCATTCAGGAACTGGTCGCTATCAAAGCATTCACACATTGTCTTATCAAAACAATAGTATTCTTGTAGGGGGGCATACAGGAGGAAATTTTTATTCATTTGCTTTATGAGAGGCCTCAATTTTGTAAACTTATCTTTTGGATCTAGGTGGCTATTATCTGCAAAATGCAGGTAGGAGAAAATCAATTCAAACCTGTCTCTTGTAATGGAATCTCTAACCTGGTTCTGATCAGTATCCGAGATTTCCCAATACATCCCCCTTCTGGGACGTCTCACAATTCCACTCAAAAGCAGGACACCAAACACACACTTCATTTCTTGAACTGTGACTTCCAAGTTGACATTTTTCTGAGAGGCATACTTATTGGTTTCATTGACAATCAAGTTGAATGTTTCATCATCAAAAAATAATTCGAAAAGCTCTACTGGGCTCAACTTTTCACTCTTGAGATTCAACAGCCCTGAATCCAGTACGGACCAGCTTGGGAAGCCGGGTTTAATGTCTCTCTGGGTCCAAGTCTTCTCTGGGACTCTGGATGCCTTCAGCTTTTTTGGAACCGGCTGGGTCTCTGGCTCATTATCGTCTCCCACATCTGAGTCCCCGGAAAATGCGAGGCCTTGGAGCAGCTCGCTCACTCGAGCTTTGTCTTTTTTTCTCCCTTTTCGGGTAATGTCTCCCGCAGCGTATTCCAAGGACGAGATGTGCATGCGGGCCCACAGGTCGCCTGGCTGACGGTCCTTCAGGGTGTTCAAATGTGCAGCAGACCTTTCAGTGGCGACAGGAGCACGAGGGGCCTGAGGCCCCTGACCTCTGGGGAAGGAAAAGGAACGCGTGCTGAGAACCGGTGTCATTCGCCAGCGCACAGCCCCACGGACCCCACGGTCCTCGTTTGCGGGGTTCACCTAAATCGCACTCACGTTCCCGTGAGGACGACTTTGGCCAGACCGCCCCACCCCACTCCCTCCTCAGCTGCTGAGTCTGGGGAAGGGAAGGGGCCGCCGTCCTCAGCAGCGAGGGGCAGGCACTGCCACCGGGTGCCCGTCCAGCTCCGCCCCGGGGCGGCCGTTCCCGGGGCTGAGGTTCCCGAACGGCCTGTTTTGCTTCTGGGTCGCTAGCAATTCGTTTTGAACTTGGACAAAGAAGGGCGTTGTCACCAGCCCTCACCTCTCACAGCCCCGGTCACGGGAGGACTAACGTCTCCTAGCTCTGCACCCACTTGGTGGGCGCACTGTTCTGAGGAGAAACAAAGGAGAAAGTCAACCTTGCTGCCCTTGGATTGATTTTTATGGGGTTCACAAGGAATCACGCTAAAGTCACTAAGACGAAAAGTATTATTTTACATGAACTTCTTTTTTAATTGTAGAAATTTACATTTCATACACTAATGCCCTATTGGTAGGTAGTGTGGCTTTAGAAGACACGGGGGAAGGCAGTGAAAAGGATGTTGTGACATAACCGACACACTTGTATTTCTTTGCCTGAAGCCCACGTCGCCCTGCCCGTCTTCCACGCCCACACACGCCACCCGCCTGCCGCGCCGTCAGAGGTCGCGGACTTTCCAGCCGCAGGGACCCTCCCTGAACCCTGTCATCGCGCTGAGTCTTTCCACAGCTGACATCTCAACTCTCGAGACCGGACCCAATCGTTCCCATCCTGACTCTTCCATCCCCTCCCTCCCCTCCCCTTCCTATTCAGTCCCCCGACCCCCCGGCCTGCGCTGCTCCTCCCCCGGGAGTGTGGCCGGGGTCACAGGGCCAGGCAGACACCCTGCAGGAGACGGTCTCCAAACTCGGCCGGTTCCGCCGCCCAGCGACCCTCCGCCTTCCTCCTGTCCCTCGTCCCCGCTCCCCACAGCAGGTACTGCAGATCTGTCACCCTTTTCAAATCTTTTGCCCGATTCCTGGATTCCCCAAATACAACCTCTTAGTCTACTCCAAAGAACAGAATTTTTCAAGCCAAAACTGGCTCTCTGAACCGGCTCCTACCACGGCTCTTCCCTGCCCTCCCTGTGCATGTGCGTATTCTGTGTCCGCCTCCTCTCCTTTCCATCTCCTCTTCATCTGACAAGTTTCTATCTGCTCATCGAGTCTGGTCTCAGACGTCGCCTCTGCTGGGGCACCTTCTCTACTCCTCCACGTTTCAGATGGGCGCCTCGCGGGCGGCCCGCCAGAGCCCGCGGCGTGGCAGCTCTGCGGCTGAGGGCAGCGTCTGCCTCGTCACACACGACCAGCCAGGAGTGGCGACGTGCTTGCTGTGAGTGGGAGAAGGGAAGACTATCTCCTGGTCCCTGCTCCCGTAGCCGTTTGTCACTCGAGTCTCCAAACCCAGTTCTCGACCCCTAGCTCACCACGGCCTGTGACATCCAGGGGGAGTTGCAGGTCCCCAGCGCCCTGCTCCGCGGCAGTGGCAGACTCTGACTTTCCTGCCAACGTCCCTTCCTGCATCCTTCCAGGGAAGCAGGTTTCTGACAGCTGGTTTCTCTGGTTCCATTCAAATTCCGTCTCACATGTGCTGGGCTTGTTACACCCAGAACCCTGGCCACTCACCTTCCGGGTGCTCCCGAGGCCTCGGCGTCTTGGTCCATCTCTTCAGATGTTTCCTGCTTTGCGTGAAACGATGCACCTTTACTTACAACTTCTTCAGCTAAAACAATACAGTAATAATTTAAATGCCAGCTGTTGTTCAAATTTAGAAAAAACTATGTTCAGAGCAGAGATAGAGTTTCCAATTTAAAACAAACAGAAAATTGACAGGCGTCCCAGAAATGCGGTCTGAGCAACCACACCACATGGGCCCCGCGCAGGAAGCTGCTGAGAAAGGCCAGTCGGCCAGGGAGTGGGCCTAACGGGGCAGAGCCGAGCTGAGGGAAACCACACAGGGGCAGCAGTGCCGTCAGCGACGAGAACCCCTGAGGTGAAGCAGGATGAGCCGGAGTTCAAGGATCTCCCACCTACAGCGGGACGTCTGAGGGTGAGAAAGCGCACGGGACCCTTGAAAAGGCAGAGAAGCGGAAGCAGAGGAGGAGCCGTGGCGGGAATCAGGGAGGGCAGGGGGACGGTCGGAGAAGGGAGAACCAATAACCACGTGATTAGCAACAGAGGAGGAGAATGTGACCGGGGACGCACCATGACAGGGGCTGAAAGAAGGCCGAAGACAGAGGCCAGAAAATGGGGGGAGCGGGCGGGGGTCTCAGGAAACGTGGGTTCACCAGGCCCGGGGTCAATCGGGGATGGGCCAAGTGAGCACAGAAGGGGACCAGCCAGAAGCCCGTCCTTACTCATGAGGAGGAGGTCTGTCACCTCCTGAGCCGAGTCCCCACAGAGGCCCCTCTGAGCCAGACGCAGCTGTGGCCACTCCTCTGGGACAAGGGCCGGGACCGCTTCGTCCTCAGTCTTCACTGGTGTCTGCAAAGGCAAGAACGGCCCCTGACTTTTCCCGGCGCTGAGCATCCCACGCCTGGACCTGCAGCGTCAGCCCCTGGGTGGGGCCGGCTCTCCCCGCGGCCCCCTCCCCTTGCAGGTGCGCCTCTGACGCAGGGCCGTCTTAGAGGGAGGCACCCACTGGCCGGGGGGCCCACTCCGGTCCAGCAGGACCGCAGCTGAGCTCCGTGACATCCACACATGACAGAGTCTCCGCCCACATCCAGCTGCATCCACAGGCCCCGGGGGTGAGGGCCCGGCTGTTCTGGGCGACACAGCCCCGCCCACACCCCTCAGCCCTGCTTCAGTTCAGGGCCTTTATGATTTTACTCAACGTTCATTTTTATTCTATTGTCCACCCAACTCTGTTGTTTCATTTCCTAGACTTTGTATTTCTCCATAATTCAAACGTGGATTATTCACCAGAGCAAACGTTTAGTTACTCTGTTCTGGTGTAATCATGCCCATCCTCATTTTGAAACACACGCTGCTGTTTATATAAATTACTTTTTCTTTCTTTCTCCAGTGTGTTACATTTAAGACAATTATGCTGATTACAACATATATAAGTAAGTTTTATTTTCTATGCATTTCTTTATAAGAAAGCAAAGTATTTGGTAAAAACAGGAGGCCTTGGGTCTGATAGGATGGAGAACCAATTACAAGCCACGGACAACGACTAACGAGAAGACGCCGTGAAGACGGGGTCTTAAGAAAACTGGTGCAGCAGCAGGGGCTTACACGGGAGACCTGATTATTTTTTAACTAAATCACTAGGAAATTTATTTGAACCACTGAGAGAATTAAAAAACAAAAACAAAAACCCAAGACATGAGGTTGTGTCCTGCACACACAGAATCTCCATTTCCATCACCAGATGGCAACTGGGTCTGAGCGAAACCCTGGACTGCAGAGGACTGTGGCGGGGAGTCCGGTTCCCGGGCTGCGGGGGGAAACCAGAGGCCCGCAGAGAAAAACCGTCGGCCACTAAGCAGCCAACGCGTGCAGGCGCTTCCTGACCGCCCGCCCGTCACCCCCACGCTTGGCACTTGGAGGTGCCCCCTGAACGCAGTGCCGGGTGGGGCGCTGGCGCGTAATCACAAGCCGCTCCTTGGAGGAGGCTGTGGCCTGCGATGCTCTGCGAGGGCTTAGGGGTGAGAGGTGGGAGTCAAGACGGGGTGAGGGTCGGGCTCAGGCCCAGGAGGGCTGCGGTGGGGGTTCCCACAAGGGCACCCTGCTCACCTGGGGCCAGGCCGACTTAAATTCAGGTGCTGCTGCCTTGTCTCTGGAGGCTTTTTCCTGGAGAGGAGCTGGGTCCTGGGGAGCAGGCCCTGTGAAGGGGGAGGTGAGTGTCCTGGGTGAGTGAGGCCCAAGTGCTTAGGGCCGCCCTCGGGGGCCCAGCCCCACAAATCTTCCTACGTTTGCTACGCGTAGCATCGCTCTGTTTCCGTTCTGCCGGGAATGCTGCGGTTCTGAAACGCTGGGATCTCCTATCCCTAAAATCGAGTGGTGTTTATGAACCATGAAGTGCTTTCCAGTGAAGCGCTTTCATGTATATAAAGGAAATTTTAAATCGCACCTGAAAATACATACATGGACAGGGAGGAAAGAGGCTGGTGATAAAGGAAACGTGAGGCACAGACAGAGAAATGGAAGAAAAGAAGTGGAGAGTCGAGAGGTGAGGCAAAGGGGAAACTGGAAGGCAGAAAAGAAGATGAAAAGAGAGGAAATAAAGATATAAAGACACAGAAAGAGTGGATAATGGGGAAGGCTGTGCATACGTGGGATTAGCGGTTGTGTGGATTATTAGGGGTTATTCTGTACCTTCCTTTCAACTTTGCTGTGAACCTAAATCTGTTCTACAAAAATAAAGTCACACACACACACACACAGAAGAGGTAACACCCTGCAAGAGGAGGAGTTCAGGTAGCCTGGGAACCGGACCTCCAGTTCACTTGGCTCAGGAAACCTGGAGAGGGTACCCAGGTACAAGCGGGTAGAGTCTCCCCGATACTTGGGAGGGGCTAAGAGCATAAAAACAGCCCTTCCAAAGAAGGACGAGAGAGCACCCCCATCCCAACCACACGTCCGCAGCAGCGGGGCTCCCATGGCGCGCTGAGGGTCCGGGGTCGCCCCTCTGCCCAGGAGGCTTTGCTGGAGCCCAGCTCTCCGAGATGCCGCAGGCGGTCCCTCAACCGCCACGTGCACGAAAGAATCTTACTGCTACGAGCACTGTGTGCTTTCGCCAGCCACTCTGTCGACTCGCCTTCATACTTCACTGCCCCTCCCCCCGCAGCCAAAATGAACCGCAATCAGGGCGCGCAGATGTGCTCATCACTTCCCAGGCCGATGGGAAGGCTCACCCTGCTTCTGCGCCGCCGCAAAGCCCCTCCTCTTTCCCAGCTCAACACAGGCTCCCCGACCCTGGAAAGTTTCCCAGCCCCCAGGACTGTAGGGCTCCCTTGCACCTCAACAGTTCTGCACATAAACTAAATATTTCAGGCTTCATGGGGTGGTGGTTTTTTATAACAGAATATGATAGAACCACCAGCGAAAAAGCGGGGAAATAGCAAGTTCTACTTACGCTACAATGGGTGTCTGAGGCCTACACACCTCACCTCCCTTTAATGTCCGCCTGTCATTTATTATAGGACAGTGAGGCTGCATGTACCATCAAAATATCGATATTCACAGACCACCAATGTGGTGACTGGTAAACAAGGACTGGAGTAAATCGTGAACCCTCAGAAATCACGTACATAATTGTGTCTGGACAGTAACCGCCCCCCTCAACTGTAGGGAACAGATCCCAAAACCCCCCGTAGGTGCCTGAAACTGCAGAGAGCAAGTACCGAACCCGAAACACACCGCGCTTCTCCTAGACATACTCACCTCTCACTTGAAGGAAGGCCTTTCCGGCTCCTCTCCGGTGTCTAAATGGCCAGCATCGCTGCTCTTGTGCTTTGGGGCCCGAATACATACCGATTACGAACCTGAACACCAGCACTGAGACAGCAGGGCGGCCAGCTCAGCCGGCTGCCACGTGACTGAGTGGGGGGCAGCGGACACGCTGGACGAAGGGAGGCCTCTCGCCCTGCGCGGGACGGAGCAGGACGGCACAGGGTTTCATCGCACAAATCCGGGCACATCACAACTGAAAACTCAGGAACTTTCGAAAGTAAACTGTGACTGAAAAATAACTTATTTCTGGAATCCCCTGTTCAATACTTTTGGACTGCAACTGACTGAATAACTGAAACCTCAGATAAGGGGGAACTATGGCACATGATTTTTCCAGGGCGGAGAGTTAATTTTCAGCAAATTCCAGGGAAAGGAGTTAGTGCCCTCACCATGAAAATTACTACACTGTGCAGTTTTATTTCTTTTTAATTTAATTTATTTTATTTTATAGAGAGGGGAGGGGGAGAGAGAGACATTGATTGGTTGCCTCTAGTATGCACCCCCCCTGGGGGCTGAACCCGCAACCCAGGCATGTGCCCTGATGGTGAATTGACCAGGCGACCTTTTGCTTTGCGGTCTCCTCTTTGAACTGCCTGGGGGCTTCTGTTTGTTCTCCGAAATCCCTCAGCATTTGGGTGCGTGCCCCCCGCCCCCGCCCCCCAAGAGCACTGCCCAGAGCTGAGGGTGAGGGACAGCTGCTTCCCTGGGGGTGGAGCCTGGGTGTGGAAAGTGAGGGAGCCCTGTGCACAGTGAGTGCCCCCAAGTAGAAAAGAAAAGAAACTATGTAACTCTAAAGCTGTATTTAAAAGGACTGAAAGGTTACATTGGGCTGGGAGGGTATTCAAGGAAATGTTACCATCGGGGAAAGACAACTTTGTGGAAAGCCACCAAGTCAGTATTTAAAATGGGGTAGATTAGAGACGTGGGGTAGAGAGAGAACTCTGGTTGAAGGTCAGGTGACCTGAAATTCTAGAGGCTGCCCTGCCTTCGCTGATCCTGGGCAAGCCATTTAAACTCCAGTGCGGGCTGTCCTAATTATTAACGGAGCATGTTGAGCTAGAAGATCTTACAATTGCAACATTTTACAATTCCAAATGACTTAAAAAGCTCCGTTGGGTACAGGTTTAGACAAAAACAGAAGTCCGGGCACAGACACAGGCTTTCACCCAAAGGGCCACGCACCTGCCGGTGACCCGACGGCACCCCTGGCTCCGCCGTCCTCGCGGGGGGACTCTGGCGGCTCCCGCTTCAGAGTGGACGCTCCAGGCAGCACTTGGAGGCTCTGCCGCTCCGAAGAGGCCCCTTTACAGTCTGTCACCAGGAGGTGCATGTCCTGTCCCTGAGCGTAGACAGAGGCCTGGGGATGAAAGAGTCACCTTGAGAAGGCGTCCTGGTGGGAACCGCACCCAACAGCAGTAAGGAACCTTCTCCATGGAGCACAAGACAAGCCCTGCTCAGTCCTCTAAGGAGGCAGGTAAGACGGAGGACAAGACAGACAGTCACTCCTTCAGCACAGGTGGACGCACGCCTGCAGCAAGCGAGAGAGACGGGACGGTCATGCAAAGAAAAACAGAACACGAAACCCGGCAGGGACGCTTAAACTAGTGGGTGGAAGTTTCATGCAAAATATGATACGCACGGTCTGAAACCGTCTCCCACAGATTGCTTATCACACAGGGGAAAACGGTAATTTCCTAGTAAGGAATCTGAGATTCCACCTTGACATCATCGATAATGGGACGACCCACGTGCTGCCGATGGAGTGCATTGAGGACACTCCGTTGCTGCGTGGGAATTGTGGCCAAAACGCGCACAACCTGGGTCTTATCATGAGAAAACACAGGGCGAACCCAACAAAGACTGAGCCACGCCTCCACAGTCAGGAAAAACAGGAGATGTGGGAACTGAATGCAGCGGGAGATACTGGAGGGGGGCGGGGCGCCGGGGGACTCGCCATGAAGAACACTACTGGGATGACATGCCAAAATCTGAACAAAGACCTCCTTTTGGATGATAGTATCATCATTTTCATAAGTGTCTGTTTACACAAGTCCTTGTTCTTCAGAAACACACCCGGAAGAGTTTAGAGGTAAAGGGGCACGCTCTCTGCGGCGAGTGCGCGTGTGCAAAGCACATCTGCACATCACGAGGCAAACGCTGGCGACTGGCGGGTCTGGGTGAAGAGGATACGGGTCCTCTTCCCAATTCTTCTCTAAGTTATAGATAATTTCAACATAGAGATAGAAGTGTTTTCTTCCCACCTGCTGTGCGGTGTCTCCTGCGTTGGTCCCTATATCCTCCAGCGCCGCCACCGCCTCCTCGCCGCTCCGCGGGTGCCCCTCCCGCACCCGGGCCCGCAGCGCCGCGGGCAGGATGCGCAGGAACTGCTCGAGCACCAGCAGCTCCAGCATCTGCTCCTTGCTGTGCGTCTCGGGCCGCAGCCACAGGCGGCAGAGCTCGCGGAGCTGGGCCAGCGCCTCCCGAGGTCCGGGCACCTCCTGGTAGCGGAACTGCCGGAAGCGCAGGCGGCAAAGCTCCGGGGCGTGGGAGCCGCGCTCCTCTGCGCTGCGCGCCTGCTGCTCCCACGTGGAACCTTCCACCTTGACTGTCACTGGACTGTCCCTGTTTTCAGGAGCGGGGCCCCACCAACTTTCCTCCATGTCGTGCTTTACCGCTGGGATTCCCTGGAAGGCGTCGCGCACAGCTGCCCCTTGAACGACACAAGTTTAAACGGTGCGTGTTCCTTTGCATGCAGATTTCTTTCAATAGAGACTATAACTGTATTTTCTTTCCTTATGATTTTCTTAACATTTTTCTCTATCTTACTTTGTTTAAGAATACAGTATATAACGCATACAACATACCAAAAAAAAGGCAAGGAAAAGGCTCACTTAGCTGTGACCTATGTGTCAGGCACTGATCGTAACAGGGAAATAGCGCTTCCAGCGCCGCGCTCCACACCCACCCTCCCTCCTCACTGCGGGCGGGGCCGACGGGGGTGGGGGGGCGGGTAACAACGGCGCAGCTTACACTGCAGCTGGGGAGAAAGGATGCTTTCACAAACAGATGAATGTTCCCTCTGCATTTCTCAGATAACTGCCCCTCACATGCAGGTGCGGTGACTGCGTTCGCAGTCTCCCCCCAAATACCTTTTGCGACCAGACTACGCGCCCTCCCATCTGTGCGGGACTAACGACTCGCTCGGAAGGACGGGGCACAGCAGGAAGGACGCTGCGAGCGGGAGCGCCGCTGCAGCTCGTGCCCCCGCCGGGGCTGCGCTGGCCACGCAGGAGGGCGCGGTGAGGACAAGGCGCCAAAGCCCGGCGAGGCCTGGACCTCGGCCGGCCGTTCACCAGCTGAAGGCAGCACCCGAGGCGCTCAGGCCAGGCCAGCAGGGCTGCCTGGCAGCCTACACACTCCTACAAGCAAGCGACCGGGGCTGTCGTACTCGGGTTGGGATTTAAATTTATTTTTTTTTAACATAGTAATAGATCGCTGAAACAGGAGACAAGCTTCCAGTTCTTTTTGTCCGTCTCCCTCTTCCTTCTGTGATCTCATTCAGCACAATTACAATGTATCTCTATTCCAAGGACACGCCGGAACCTGCCTTTCCCATGGCAGGCTCACGCCCTCCAGACACGGTCGCCTCCAGACCCGGCCCCGCCGCCCCGTGGCCCCACGTCCCCACCTGGCGCCTGGGCCGCTCGAAGCCGCGCTCGCTGTCTCCCCGTCCCTGCCGGTCGCGGGCAGGATCCCTCCGAGTCCGGTCAGACCCCTCCGTCATCACCACCTAAAGTCATCACGACGACCATTTTCTCCGCTATTCCTCTCCCTCCGTCGCCGTGCGGGACTCGGACCAAACGCCCCAGGCTCCCCTCCCAAACACCGGGTTTCAACTGCTGCCCCTCGGACTAAACCCAAACCCCGCCGGATCTGATCCATGCTGAGTTTTACTGGTGCGTTTGTCACTCACCAGGCGTTTAGGGGGCACGTCATTATTTCGCAGGCACATCACTAACCCTGGAATGAATACAAGTCACGTCCCGACCTCCCGTCCCCGCCGACTCCCTCCGCCCACCGGTCGCTCACGGCGGGGACCCCTGCAGCGCAGTCACAGCCCGGCCTGGCGCTGGCGCCGCCCCAGGCCGTGTGCGCGGGAGAACTTTGTCCTCTGAGCCACACCGGGAAGCGGGTGTCCCCGTGGGTCCGGACCACACCCCTGCGCGGGGATGGGCAGGCTCTTACCTGGCCCCCGGCGCACCCGGGGAGCTCGGTGAGCCGCGAACGCGCCTGCCTCCTTCCGGCCCCCCGGCCCTCCTGGCAGAAGCGGCCGCAGCGCGGGCTCAGGCCCGCCAGCGGGAGGAAGGCGGGGCCACCGCGCACAACAATGATGGACCCACAGGCCTCCTGAAAGGGTCCGGAGCAGAGGAGCCTGGGGCCCGAGGGCAGGGGGCGCAGGCGGGGGAGGCCTGCGCACCCGGGTGCCCGGCCTCTCTAGGACGGAGCGACACATCTCTCTGGTGCGCTCGGAGGACCCTCATCTGCCCAGACACCAACCAGCATTTATGTAAATCGTTGCATTTGAAACCAAAAAGGGTCAGGGTAAAACTGAGCTTGTCTTTAGGGTCTTCACAGGCTGCACGGGTTAGGAGGTGGGAGAACAGATGAATAAATTACAATACAGCAAACAGCACGTTATTTTTTAACTAAAATATACAGATTATACATGCACAGGAAGTCAAGTTGCATACCAGCTGAAAAATGAAGTGTCTCAATGTTTTGTGCACCCACACAGAACTGCGCGCCAGAAGGTAGTGTTGCAATAGTTCACGCTCTCTGGGGTCCTGCCCTCTCAAGACTCTTAACTCACCTTTCAGGGTGTCTGTGGTATCTTATATGCAGGCAAGACCTTAACTGAGATCTGGTGTGACAACCTTTGTTCAGCTTTTTTATAATTTATGAGAACAAGAAAAACATGTTATTTAAATATACCTGCATCCAACATTTATGCCCAGTGGTTATGGGTCTGCCCTCAGGGTACTGATGAGAACACCACTCCCCTGAAGAATTAGGTGTCTATGAATTTAGAACACTTACAATATTGTATTATAGAATTATCATGAGAGAAAGCCACGATCAATTTTCCAGATATTTAAGGACCTATTTGATTTTCACACTTGGAATCTTTTCATTGTCATTGCTTTTTTTTTTTTTTTTTTTTTTTTTTTTAATTTTAGAGACAGGGCAAGGGAGGGAGAAAGAGGAAGAGAAGATCAATCCATACGCACCCCAACCAAGGACAGAACCCACAACCCAGGCAGGATGATGCCCAACAAATGAGCCACATCAGCCGGAGCTCATTGTTGTTGCTTTTAGTAAGATAGAAATTATGTGTTCTCTCCTTCTTAAACTAAACAGAAACAGGTTTAAACTATGAGACAGAGCTACATGTTTAGGTATTGACCACAGCACAGGCCTCAAAACACTTAGAGGGAACTCCTGATATCAACTTAATTTCACTCATACAGGCAGAATGAAAAACACATAGCTTTATGGCTACCCAAGCAGTGGAAGATGATTTTCTATTACATTCTTCAATTTCTCAAGAAGTTACAGCTGCTCCTCCTACAGATGCGGTCCTCCTCTGGACCAGGCAGTCGCTACGGTCCCCCATGTGCTCCCACCAGTCCGATCAGAGGGGGAAGGAACAGTGGGGTGGATCAGGGTGCTCAGTGCTTCTTCCAGAATTCACTCCCCTTTGTTGTTCGGGACAGAAGCCTGTTTTCAGCTGCGCACTGCAACCAAGAATAAGATACACTCTCCAGCCCCCTTTTCCTACGTTTTGGCCCCCAACACAGCGCCGCAGTGTCTGTGGGAAGGCTGTTCACAGGGCGCTGGCTCACTTCAGAGGAGCCTCCTTTGGTCCTTCGGCCTGTCGGCCCCATTCTGCAGGGGACAGCTGGAGCTAGAGCAGCCATCGGGGATCATGCGAGGACTGTTCAGGACCCACGGCGTGCACCAGGGCGGTGGTGGTGCAGAGAAGCGGAAGCCAGTGATGTCACCGAACCACCTTACCAGTCCTGGACTGCTTATCTCTAGCCTCTCTTATTGGAGATAAAAACTGACTTTTAGTAAGTCGCCCCTACTCTTTTTTTCAGCCATATGCATCTGAACCAAATCCTCAGCAATCCACGATGCTTAACCAATCTTCCCACGCGGTGGCAGAATGTGAAGCCTTTTCCAGACAGCAGAGCCGCAGCAGCTCGTGTCACTCAACAAGTGATGCTCTCCACCCTGGCCATGCGCCTGGAAGTGGAGCCCCCGAAGCCTAATACTCTTCGTGTTAAGCTGACTTTATCTGACTTTCAGAGAATTCCAGAACAAGCAACATTTAAAAAAAGGTATCATCAGTATTAAAAAAGTCTAATTTCTTCGCCAGGCGTTCACTCAGTCGTGCCTACGTGGCAGTGACTACGCGGGCACTGCCGTTACGGGGGAAGACAGCTGCGACACGAAGTCAGCACGGTTCATCCAAAGGACTTAGGAATCTCTTCTCCAGACTAATTTCTAACTGGGTCAATGAGATACTGTGGTGGGGATGGGCGTGGGAAATGGTAAAATGGGGTGATCCGGCTTTCCAAAATGCCTCTCCTGGTTGGGGGTGGGAGGAATGAAAGTTAGTAAAGCCATTGGGGGAAATAGTCACCATTTACCCACACTTTAAGACACCTGTTTTATTTCATAGCCATCTCTTGCTATAGCATATGAAAAAAATATCAACCTGCTCTTGTTCTGCTTCAGCCTGTAAATCTGTGAATATGTCATTTGCTGCCGACTTCAAAACCCTCCCTCAATCATGAGGCTCTCTGCTGCTTGGAGATGTATCATCATGCTTTTACCATATCAAAGGCTCTGAGAAGCCCTGCAGTCAAGAATGCTGTTCAACTCTGACCCCCAAGTACCATCTGGATGAAGTTGCCACAGCACAAAGCTGACTTCAAGGAAAACAAAGGAGAAAGAGTCGGGGCAGAGAGCCTCCAAGTCCCGCCTCCCCAGCCCCCAAGATTTCTCCGATGCCAGGACTGGCTAGAGTGAATTCTCCTACAATGCGGTTTGCTTGCTAATGTACTGTCTCTGATGTTCCAACAAGGAGAGGGCCCCTCCGCAAGCCAGTCTGTCTTTGTGGTGGTATCTCTGATGCTGAAAAAGACCTGACCTCTGCCTGAAGGCTTCTCCGCAATCGTTACACTCGTAGGGTTTTTTTTCATTGTGGATTTGCATGTGCTGAGTGAGGTGTGAGTTCAGTCGGAAGGCTTTCCGGCATATACTGCACGTGAAAGGTTTCTCTCCAGTGTGAACCCTGTGATGTCGAGTGAGGTCTGAGGTTAAGCTGAAGGCCTTCCCCACGCGTGGCACTGGTGGCCCCCAGAGTGGCTGTGCGTTCTCTGATGGTGGGTGAGCAGCAGGGCCTGACTGACGGTCTTCCCGCACCCCCGGCACTCGCCGGGCTCTTCCTGGCTGTGGGTCCGCTGGTGTCGATTCAGGTGAGAGCTGCGCCGGAAGTTCTTCCCACAGTGGATGCACAGGAAAGGCTTCTCTCCAGTGTGGATTCTGAGACGCTCCAAAAGGCCTGCGTTCTGGCTAAACACTTTCCCACACTCCTTGCACTGATAAGGCTTCTCCCCGAGATGGATTTTCTGATCTCTGACAAGGTGTGAACTTCTCTGAAAGGCTTTCCCACACTCGTGACACTGATGGCCTTTCTCTCTAGAGCGGATTTTCTGACGTCCGGGAGGACTGGATTCACAGAGCTTTCCTGCCCTGGGCACACCGTCGTGTTCAGCCAGGGCTGAGCGCTGGGGGAATCGCTCCCCACGGGCTGAGCTGTTAACGTCAGCCTTCTCCTTGGGCTTGGCCTGCTGCCGTTCCAAGCGAGAGCCCTCACGGTGAGTCTCCTTGGGCTCAGATGTTTCCCCAGACGACCCCACTCCTCCACAAGGGTCTGTCTTCACCATTGGTGCCCCGTCCTCAGCTATCGTCTCTTCACCTGAAACATTAAATATAGGCCAACGATTACTTGTTTTTTGGTGCTTGGGGAAAGAAGTCTGCTATTCGTAGGAAAAATATTAAATCCAGCTATGTGTGCAAAGTGAAAACGTTGCGGATGTTTGTGTTTGTGTATATTATACACGGAATGATACACAAGGAACTTAACAGTGGCTGCCTTTGGGGAAGAAGAGGGTTGTGGTGGGAGGTGACCTATTCACGTGGTTTGAATTTTATTATCTCTCTCACACACAGACACACACACACATACACACACAGGCTAACAGACTGTCTTAAAGGGAATGGCTATACGTTCTTGAAAACAGCTCGTCACATGGAAAACTTAAAAGATAGGTCAAATGAGGATCCTGGGACCAATAAGAAAGCGATGGGACTTTAACTGAAAATGAAGAACTGTAGGCCGACCAATTGTGTAATTGTAGAAGTACAAATTAAACCTCGAACTTTCCAGAAGAAGCGCACCTTTGAAGCAACATCCAAAACTGAAAAAGTAGGTAGTTGGTTTTAAAATCAACACCAACCATTCAACAGATAGACATTTACTGAGGGCCAACTCTAAGCCTGGAACTGTAACAAACCCAGGAAATAAAGCAAAGGCCCTGCCGATTTTCCTGACAGGAAAAAAGGAGATGTTACCCAGCAACTGTAATACAGTGGGGTCAGTTCTGTGACAGGAGAACTGCCTGGCGGGGAGCCTGACCCGGCCTTGCGGCCCTTAGGGAAGGACGGAGAAAGCGACCTCTGAACCAGGTCGGGAGAGTGAGGGACAGCGGCTCCAGACAGAAGACTGAGCGAGAGACAAAATGCAGCTGGGCAGGGTGGGACAGAGGGCGACTCATTGTCGCGGTCTGTCTGGGGACAGGGGTTTTTCCCAGAACACAGAACAGTTGGTGCTTGAGGCCACGCAAAGCGGAACAAGTTGGTTGCGAGTTGACATGAGGCTGTGAGGACAGCAGATGCCAGAACATGCATACGAGGCCTTTGCTAACAGCTACTGGAAGTCACTGAAAGTGGTGTTTTTCTTCTTGTTTTTTATCCTTCAATATAGAATTTTTCAAACACCCAAAGGAAAAAAAAAAGGTTGAAAGAGTCACATTACTCACTAACTGAAGGATTTTAAGGAGGGAGCAACATTTGTGTTTAAATGACGTGTTTATATGACGGAGGGAACTTCCACGGAGGCACTGAGATGACAAGCTGGGCTTGTATCAAACTGGAGAGAAGAAAAGAAAAAGGAAAGGGACAGAAATCAGAAAGATCTGCTTCGGAGTCAAAGAAAACACAGTAGAGTAAAAAAAAACCAAAACAACAACAAAAAAACAGAAACAAACAGAAACAAAAAAACACATACACACACAACACAAAACCCAATACAGGTGACATTTAGAAACAAGACAGCAGCCATTCAGTGACGAGACGGCAGAGAGAAGCCAGGAGGAGGAGGCCTGGGGCTGGGACTCTGCCTCGGGGAGAGGCCGGCGCCCTTCTCATCCACACGGCAGGCTTCCCTTTTAATGAACCGACAGCAGAGAAAGGACAGCCTACGGGGCGATGCGTGGGTGCCAGAATCGTCTGTCTCTTGATTATGGTGGCGATTAGACCGCTGTAATTACTTCATGCTGGTGAAACTCACTGAACTGCACACTTACAAAGAGCAGATTCCCAGTGTGTGAACTAGACCTCAGTAACCCTGACTCCAAACAAAACAAATAAGACGCCAAGGGCGCTGGGCCGGCTCCCCGCAGGCAGGGAGACCAGTCTGCTGCTCACCCTGTTCCGCTTCAGGCTTCGGACCCGCCGCTCAGGTGCGAGCGGCCCGGCCCGCGCGCCGTTCAGAGTCTCTCTGTCCTCCGCGCACACGCGCTGTTTCTCCGCCTGTCCCGGGTCCTAGGGACAAGTGGGGACAAGTGGGTACAGGGGAAAGCTGCTGCTCAGGAAAACACTAAACATGAGGAAAAAGAGAGAAAAGAACCCCGCGGGGGCAAAGAAAAGCATCTGTTTCCTCCCAGCAGCGAAAAGGTGAGACCTGCAGCAACGAACGGAAAGAAAACAAACCGAACTCGGCAATTCCCGCCGCACCGCGCAGCTCGCGTCCGCCTCTCCAGCCGCGGTCTCTGTCCCCGGCCTCCGGCCCAAGAGCACACCTCACCCCTTCCGCCCGCTGTCCAGCTTCTCGCAGCTCTGGGTGCAGAGCCTCCGGTACAACCACGGCCTCCTCGCCGCTCCGCGGGCGCAGCTCCCGCGCCCGGGCCCGCGGGCAGGACGCGCAGGAACCGCTCCAGCAGCAGCAGCTCCAGCGCCTGCTCCTCGCTGTGCGTCTCGGGCCGCAGCCACGGGCGGCAGAGCTCGCGGAGCCGGCGCGGCGCCTCCCCGAGACCCTGCGGTCTCTTCATACCGCAGCTGCCTGAGCTGCGTGCCCAGCGGCTCCTGCTCAAGGCCAGAGCCGCGTCCTGGCGCTTCGCACGCCGGCTGCCTAGGCTGGCGGGGACCGTCCTTCCCCTCCCGAGGCCCCTCCTTCAGATTCAGAGGAGCCAGGGCAGGGGCACTGGCCCAGGCTGTCGCCATCCCCGGCTTCAGACTGCGCCCTCTGACTGGGAGAACGTTTGACTATCTCCTCAGGGACTGTCCTGGAAATTTAATAATACGTGTCACAGAAACAGTAATAGCAGTAGCAACGATAACAACAGCAATAGCAATAGCAATACTCTTTTGTTGGGCGTGTACATCTTCAAAAATCACTATCCATTTGGTTCTCTCTGGGGAAAAAAAAACTCCTAGAAAAGGAACATACACAAAATGGGAAAACTCTGTTTTACACAAGACACAAGACTGCCAGCTCACACCAGGAAAAACACATTTGAAAATTCCCCACTTTGTAGCTCTTAGAGAATTATTGATTAAATCAATGGCCACAAATGGGTAGAACCACTAGGTTAAAGGAGTGGAGGTGAGGAGGGAATCGTCAGTCTCAGTGACCCTCACCACTTACTCATTACAAAGGGAAAAATGGAGATATCGCAAACTTACTCCTGTGATCTAATCTAGCAACTCCAACACCAAGACAACTGGCATTGTGCCTTCCCACCTGTATACCATTATTATTAAAAATGTTTAATGTGAATCTAATAATGAGGACAATTACAGATAAACCTAGAATGCAGCTCATGCAACAGGCATGGGCTCTTCAAAACAATCAATTTCACAAAAATAATAAAGTGCAGGCAAGAATTATTCTAGATTAAAGCAACACAGAATAAAGCAACATGTAAAACTGGCTCCAGTTCAAAAAAAGATTGCAAATATTATGAAAAAAATCAGAAGTCTAAATAGCTAACTACCGCCCCGAGAACCGAATGGAGCCCCAGACCTGCTGGGAGAAAAGTGCGTGTGCACGTGAAGAGAGCGCACACAGCAGGGAGTGAACCATGCACGACAGCTTACAGTACTAACTGTATTATTCTCTCAACTGTTCTGTAGATCGGAAAATTCTCAAAATGTTGAGGGAGAAAAGACACAAAATAAATAAAACTGCTTACGTGTTCATTAAAGCCAGTATCAGAATTAACAAAAAGGATAATGGTCCTCACAGCTCACCCCCCTTGCTGACTGTCTCCTATGTGCCAGACTCTCAGTTGCTGGGAACAGACATGGGCCCAGCTCCCGGCCTCCACAGCTCCCTGCTTCTCAGGAGGTCACCGTGCAGCGCGTGCAGGGCCACGAGGGAGGGATGCACAGGGTGTGGGTGGGGCACGGTGGTGAGTCCTAAAAGACCAAAGTAAAGGAGAGAAGACAACAGAGAAGGGGCGTTGCAGTCAGAGCAAAGGCTGAGCATAGAGCTGCTGGGGAAAGAAAGCCTGGCAAATTCAGGGCAGCGCGGCAGTCAGTGTGGCTGGAGCCCAGAAAACTCCTAGCGCATGGAAGGGAGGTGAGAAGGAACGGCATCCAGACAGCCAGGGAGATCCGTTTCTGTAAATGTTCCGATCCAGCCCTGTCACTTATGAGCAGTGTGACCTGGAACAAGTTCCTTATCCTTTTGGAGGCTTAGTTTACTCATTTGTAAAATGAACGTAACACCTGTGTCACAGAGGTATTTTGAGGTGAATGAGATAATTGAAAAGAACACAAGTTCACTGATTTATAATTGGAATTAAATAAAAATGCAGTGTTCAAGAGTGTGAAATGCTACAGGAAGGTGGGTGAGTCTAAGACCTCACATATGCAATTAATTAAAAAACACAAGTCAGATAGGCGGTCGCTCGCTCCCTTCTCAGTTCCTGCTTGCGGTGGCCCCGAGTAGATGGTGGCCCAACAGGAGGAGAGGGAGACGAAAGGGTGCAAGCACTGTGGCGGCACCCTCGTGTTCGGCGGCCCCTCATGCAGTATAGACGGGATGGGTCAGAGGCCTGGAGAGCCGCAGGCAAGGATGAGAGGAGAGGAGACGTCAAGGGTTGGGGAGGAGAGGAGAGAGGCTCGAGGAAGGGCTGAGGGAGGGCAGTTCAGCCACAGCCCGCGGCCAGTTAGCACTGCCCCTCTCACCAGGACCAGCACAATGACTTTTGCTTCACGCCTTGAATCCTGATTGTTGTCCCTACAGTTAATAGGGAGACATACCTTCATGATGCACCTTGTAAACCTTTTGGTGTTACTGGTTTACTCTGAGTTTCCCATTACTAGCTTCTAACTAAATACTGAGTCTTGACCCAAATTGTGAGTTTCTGTCAGAGGGCGAGTTTTACCTCCTGTGTGGGAAGATGCTCATTACATACTGTGAAGTTAATAAAGTAGTTTAACAAAGCAGAAAATAAACAAAAACAAAAACACAGAGGCCACTGTGACTTCTGCAAAGGCAATTTAGGTTGTGGGTCAGGGTGATCAGTCAGCCTGCCACAGGAAAATGAGAACGTGAAAAGAATGAGCAAAAGTTACTTTTTTAAAGAATAAGACATTTTATAGAAGGAGAAAATAGGGCAGAAGGTAGGAAGGGGGAATGTCTAGGACAGGTACGTTTGTAACTTAATTACTGTTTTTACCCAAAGATTTCCTTGTGGTCCAGCCCAGATATCTCACGAGTGCCGCATCTGTATTTCCTTCTGGCCACCTGGTACCTGGATACCTCGTAACAGCCTCTCAAACCCAGTGTGTCACCATTGTCCTTTGGGGCAGGCCATTGGTATACGGGGTCTTTGGACTCTTGATCTGGAGTTCTCTTGAGTGACTAGGAGGGTCTGTGGAGTTGCACGGGCCGACAGCTGGTACTTGCCTTTGAATCAGTATGCGGGTGGCAGGGTGGGGGGCTCAGTTAGTGGCTGTGCCTGGCTACGCTCCAAACAGAGCTTGCAGTTGTACATTCCTGGATGTGTATACGTGAACTCTCCCTGTTGGTGGATGCTTTCCTTTGTCCAAAATGGACTTAAAATTTAAAAAGTGAAGTCCTAGTATTCTTTTCCCCCCAAATACTACTACTCTAAATGAAGTAAAAAAAGTCCAAGAAAGTGATAAGTGATGGTTATTAGCCAGAAATAAAAGTCTGGTATTGTGATGGTTAATTTTATCTAACAACTTGACTGGGCCAAAGGGTGCCCAGATATTTGGTCAGACATTACTCCGAGTGTTTCTGCATGAGATCAATATTTATGTCAGTAAACTGACTGAAGCAGACTACCTTCCATAATGTGGGTGACCTTCATCCCATCAGTTGAAGGTCTGAATGAAAAGGAAAAAAAAAAAGGCTGACTCTCCCCCAAGTAAGAGGGAATCCTTCCCGCCTGACAGGCTTCAAAGTGGGACATCAGCTTTGCTCCTGCCTTTGAACTCGACTAGAAACATTGGCTCCTCCTGGGTCTTGAACCTGCTGGCCTTCTGACTGTAACTACATTTTTGAATCTCCTGGTTCTCAGGCCTTTGGACACACGCGGGAACTTAAGCATCGGCTCTCCTGTGTCTCCAGTTTGCCGACTCACTCTGCACATCTGAGGACTTGTCGGCCTCCATGACGACGTGAACCAATTCCTTATAATAAATCTTCCACTATGTGTCAGTCTATATCTACATATCGTTATTGGTTTTTCTTCTCTGGACAACCTGGGTAACAGAGATATGTAGTGTAGAATATTGAATTGGCAGTGGATTGTTTCTATGATGTGATTACATATGTCTAGCACGGTGTATAATGAGTGACTTGAAAAACTGACCTTTCCAGCCCTGGCTGGTGTGGCTCAGTGGACTGAGCCTTAGCCTGTGAACCTAAGGGTCACCAGTTCAATTCCCAATCAGGGCACATGCCAGGGTTGCGGGCCGGGTCTCCATTTGGGGGTGTGTGAGAGGCAACTGCTCACACATCAGTGTTTCCCTCCCTCTTTTTCATCTCTCTAAAAATAAATGAAACCTTAAAAACAAAAAAACAAAAAACCCCCCAAAAACCCTGACCTTTCCAGCCCTCTTCTGCATCTCATATATCTGGTCAATCAAGTTCTATTGAGTCTCCCTAAATATCCGCCAAACCACCGCCTCTCCATCCTCTCTGCCTCCGTCTTCTCCTACCCAGACCGCTGCACGTGGCTTTCTCACTGCGGTCAGTCCTCTTCCTAAAGAGAAAGTATGATTAGATCTTTGCTGTGCATATTTCATTTCATGGCTCATCATTACTCTCGGAATCAAGTTCAAAACATCTAATAGGATTTAAGATTTTCTTATGATGTAATGAACTTTCAGTCTCTCAAGCTTGCAATACCCTTTCCTGCTCCTGGGTCCTTTCCACATCTCGCTCCTTTGCCTGGAACGTCTCCAACCTTCCAATTTTCTTCTCATTAATGCCCCTTCACTCTTTGTGCCTCAGCATAATAAAACAATAAGCCAGCACAACTGTTCTTTGCGGTTTACATACGTTAATGAAGCCCTATTCACTAACGAAAACACTATTACTAACTTCACCACACAGAGAAGGGAACCGAGACATCCAAAGTGAACATTCAAGATCCCAAAGCTGAACCTCAGATCTTTCCTCCAATATCTCTTGCAGCCACAGGCTGAAAACATTACATTTATCTTTGTCTTCTCTCATACTGCCACAGCCCACATCGGATCCAAGAGCAAACCCTGTGGGCTCCACCTTCAAAGTAGATCATTACTCTGAGCACTTCCAACCTCTTCTACCACAATCCTATTCCAGGACCAGCTTTTCTCCCACCTAAATGACTGGCAATAGCCTCCTAACTTTTCAGTTCCCCTGATTCCAACACTTGCCCCTCTACAGTTCCCAGCTACAGAGGCTTTAAAACAGAAATCAAGTGTTTTTCCTCTGCTCAAAAATTTCCAAAAACTCTTCAGCAAGAAACAACCAACTTCCTTAGTCAACACAATGCCTCCCGCACCCCCGCCCCCATCCCTGCGATGTCACCCCCTGCAAACCTCGCCCTGCTCAGTCCGGTCTCTGTGCTTCCTCGAACATGTCAACCAGGCTCCTGCTTTGGAGCCTTAGCACTGGATGCTCCGTCTGCCGAGAAAGCTCGCCACCCTCAAAAGCCATATATAGGTCTTCTCAGCTCCGTCAGGTGTCTGCTCAGTTATTACCTTCTAAACCTCATCTCAACACGTACGGAGTCGCGCTCGGTGTCTGGAAAGCCGCAGCCGACGGCGGTGTCCACCAAACGACATCCACAGCTCCCCCGCCTCGCAGGCCCAGGACACCCTGTCCGCGCGGCCGCTCCGTCGCAAAGGCTTCTCAGCGGCCGCACGGAGCGAGCTGCTCGCAGGCCCTGGGCCGCGGCTGCTCCCCAGCCCGCAGCACCATCACCTGCGCCCCAGCAGCGACCCGCAGGGCTTAGTGGTCAATTCTTTTCTCCCCTGTCCTATTTGTCTCATTCCCTGGAATTCCCGCAACACCATACAAAGGGGCTGTTCTATGAGCAATCAGGAATACCCCGAAGAGGGGGATTATAACCCTAAGTAAACAGGAAAGTCCCAAGAGTCGAGCTTCTGGACATCTGCCTTGCGATTGTCCACGTCCCTCTGCGACCTTGTCAGACAGCAGGGCTAGGTTGGCTCCCAGCACTGAATCTCAGGATTGTTTGCGATGCCGACAAAAATGTTTTCTCTTTCTTGAGGTGGACCAGAAAATATATAATCTAACTCGGTAGCTTTTACAGACCTTTTCTTATTTGAGAGAAACTAGTCTGAAGAGGAAAATGATTCATAGAGAATAAAGAGAAAAGAAGCCAATGTCCTATTAAAGCCATACAAGTAAACTGTCTTTCTGGTGCACTTCTGTTCTATGTCAGTAAATCTCTCTCTCTCTCTTTTTTTTTTTTTTTTTTTTTTTTGTCATTCTGTTAAATGCAACAAGAAGTATACAATCAACTGAATCCTTTGTTCTTTCTGGACTTTTGCTGGTTCCCCTTGGGGCAAGTACATGACGCCTTCAGAGAAGAGTCGGGGCAACAATACCCCTCCAGGTTAATAGCTCCAACCTTTATTCTGCAACATTATACTTGTATGTACAAAGAACTCATGGACAGTTATAGAATACACCAAAGGAAAAAAAAAAAAAGAGTTCTTTGGGGAGAAGGATCAAGGACTTCAGTGAAAAACTCACATTTTACTGACTCTCCTGTAACGTTTGAATATCTTTAACACCATATACACATATTATTTTGTAAGTTAAAAATTAAAAAAAAATTGCTACAGAGATCTCAAAAAGCAGCTTTTTCTTCAAGAACTTAACATAGGTACAGTAGCACCATAAAGTCTTTTAATACTACTTTGGTCATATAAAATTGCCCAAAGTCCTGCCATAAAGTAAAAGTCCTCATTTGTCATCTTTCCCTTTTGTCTTTCTGTACACCATCTCTCTGAAACTGGCTAGAATAGTATTCTCTCTCTTCCGCCTCTCTTCTTGGTTAAAGGATGCAAGGGCTCTCTTCTCATCAGCACTGTAGATCTGGTTCTCTTTACGCAGTCGCACAGCCTCCATTCTGCGATGTCTGCTACCACTCATAACATAACCTGAGCATTCAAATGAAGCAATTTCTTCACTTGTTAGCCCAATTTCACCTCTTCGTGGGATACGCTTTCCAGCTTTTACATACTCTGCCATAGCTGCACCTTCACCCGGGAGCAGAGCATGGCCATAGTTCAAAGGTTTCTCATCTTGAGAGGTGTGAATTACAGGTGCTTCTGGACCGATTAGATCCATGGTATCTGTAATCTCTGAGTGCTCAATCCAGGCATCTTCTGGCAACTCCCCCTCAGAATCCTTGTAACCTGAGTCAGCGGGTTCTTTTTTAGTTTTCTTACTCTTCTTTTTATTTCTGCCTCTGTGTTTCTTTTTCTTCTTAGCTTTTTTGGATCTCTTTTTTCCATCATCAGAGCTACAATTAGTGTCAGAGTCTGAATTACTGTCACTATTATAATATTTCTTATATTTTCTTTTGGACTTTTTATTTCTTTTGTTTTTTGAATGACTGGTCTTCTTTCTGCTTTTTTCTTCGGGGATGGAATCTGAACTGCCGCTGATCTTCCGAGTTTTTATTTCTTCACCTTCAACTGGGGGGTGTTCATCAGAATCCGGCTCAGGGTACCTCGGAGACAGCCCCCACACCTCAGGAGCCCCCAGCTCCCCGATCCTTTCCCTCTCCTTCAGCCTCCTCTGCCGACAGCTCTCCTCCAGCTCGTAGTGCTCTGCCCACTGCCGGTCGCCCACCCGGTTGTAGTGATGGCAACGATGGCAACGCGGCGCCCCGCAGTACACGGTGCAAGAGGACGAGAGGATGTAGTTGCGGAGCCCAGGGGGCTCTCGAGACCCGGAGCCACTGCGGGGGTAGGGAGCGCCGGCCGACCGACCGCAAGGAGGCCTGAGGTCCTCGCGGCCGCGGGACTGAGAGCGGGTACGGCTGCTCCCCGACGAGCTGCGACGCCGTCTGCGGGAGCCTGGAGTGTCCTCGGGAGAGCGGGACCGGGACGCTGGTGCCATGGGCCGCGCTTTCACAAGTGACCAACGGGTCAAGGCGGGACAGTTACCACAGCGAACGTGGCGCGCGGACGACTCCCGCTCGCGCAGGCGCGCCGGCCGCAGTCGCGCGCGGCTTCCGCTTCCGGCCGGTTGCCAGGCGAAGCCCGAGCCGCTTGGGCTGAGGCAGTCGGCGGTTTTTGTCCCGAGTGCGTCAGGGGCTTGGCGGCGCCTGTGTTTGGGGTTTATGTCCCTCAGCCTGAGCCCCGTGAGAACATAAAACGAGGAATTCGCACCAATGAGTCCTCTGCTGCTGAAACATCCGCCCTTAGATAGTTGCGTTTTCGAGCCTCTCAACTTACCCTCCGCTCCTCCCATCCTCACCTCCGCCCTCTGCACCTCAGCGGTTGCCCGAGGGCCGCTACTTCCCAGCCCCTCCCGCTTGTCCACAGAGAGGAGTCTGTCCACCCCATGAAGGAAATAGGTTTAGTAATGGCTCCAGACCCCGCTGGTTACTACTGGAAGCAAGACCAGGACTTCTTTTGGAACCAAAGTTTGACCTCAGCCTCTTAGCTAAGTGAAGGCCAGAGTCATGATTTTTATTCTTAAATTCACAGACTTTCTACCCAGAAACAGAGAAGCATCCAACTCAATCTCATAGATGTTTCCATATCTAGTTAATTTTTTCCAGAAACACTGTGGTTTTGGAACCACTTTCCCTACACATACTGTTCACTTTCTGAAATGACGAAAGTTTCATTTCACACAAGATCATTTCTCCCGGTCTTAAAATGCACACAGAGATTGCCGTCATCGTGGTTCTCCATAGTCAACTGGATCTGCTCAGTTAGTTGAAAAGTAACCGAAAAGCTGCGTCAGAACTTGAGAATGGCGCTCTCCTAATGCTAGGACTCTAAATGATAAAATGGGGAAATTAAGTTGAACAGGATGAAATTAGGTCGTTTGATCTGAGTAGAATTTTAGTGATGTAATTGAAAGGGGAAAGCACTGGTATAAACTATGCTAAGTGAGGGACTGGCAAATAGGAGGGAGTATTGTAAGTGAATGGTCACGTGTATAATGAAAATATCACAACGGGTAAGTACTACATTCTGAGAGTAAAAATGTCATACCTCATGTAAAATTTTTTCCTCTGGATTTACTACTTGGTAGGCCAGTGAAATGGATTTATATATTTTACTTGCGATAACTGTAAAATTAAGCCAGTTAGTATCTCATGGGAATTTCAATTAATAATTGATTGATATAAAATCTCTTTCAGATAATGGATGGAGAAATTAGTTTTAAAATATATTGTGTTCCTTATGGAAAAGTATGACCTAGAGCAGGGGTCAGCAAACTTCTTTTTGTAAAATGCAAATAGTGAATATTTTATATTTTGTGGACCAAGTTGCAAAATTCAGGATATTATGTAGGTAATTATATAATGAGAAAAAAACAAAACCACACATTTTGTATTGATGAAATAGAATTATTATTCAAAATATAACTTAGTTCAATTTTCTCTTGTAATAAGATCTTATAATGGGTAGAATGAAAAACTTTTTGAGAGAATTACATTTGCTTACTTAGGGTTCTACCATTCCAGATTCCTCATCCATGAATTGCCTGTGCATATTCCTTGTCAACTTTTCTGTTTGATTGTTGGCTTTTTCTTGTTTATTTGTAGAAGCTCATTATGCATTCTCAGTATTGATCCTTGTTGATTACATGGGTTGCAAATACCTTCTGTTAGTCTTTTTGTTTGTTGTTTCCACTTGCTTCTGGTATCTTCTGATGTAGTTTTAAATTTTAATGATGTCAGATTTACTATTTTTTTTTGTGCAGTTTGAGTTTGTGTGTTTTTAAAGGAATCTTGTTATACTCAAAAACATAGAGAAATGCTCCTTATTTTCTTCTAAGAGTATGAAAGTCTTCCTTTTTGACCTTCAAGTCCTAAGCAACTAGAATTAATTTTTGTGCTTGTGTAAACCAAAAATTTTTTCCATTTGGATATTAAAAAAACGAAGCACCATTTACCAAATGTTTATACACCTACACCTATATACCTACATCTATATTTCTTTCTGTAAATAACTCTAGATATTGGGACCTGGAGTTCATGCTGACGCCTTCAATTCCAGTTCAATGCTACAGGATTCATTTTGGTTTTTTTCTTTTCCAGGTTTGTAACTCCTTCTTTGACACGTGAAACCTGGCTCCTATGATGTTAAGTATATTTACCTATTTCATCGATCCTTCTTATATGTCTTCTTGCTCAAACCTCAAATCAAAGGTTGGTGATGCTTGAATGGGGTCTGTGAAATAGATGGTAGTAATGTCTCAGTGTCAGTTTTCCTGCCATAGCTTCCCTCCCCACCCCAGTGACTACACTCTCCTCACTCCACTTCGGCTCCAAACTCATTCTGGACTGGGCTGCTGCCTCCTCTCTCACTTCCTTTGACTCCGCCTGAAGACTTTGGCACTGAATTATTCAGAATGGAAGGGAAATTTTTTATTTAATTTAAAAATTACTGTGGAAAAATTGAAGCATAAATAAGTGTAAAGAGATTATTACACTGAACCCACCATGCCTCTCATCCAATTTCAACAATCATCTTTGTACCATTTTTTTGTTTTCCTAGTTCTTTAAGAGTATTTCAAAGCAAATCCAGACATTACATCAGTTCACCCTCAAACACTTTAGTATGAATTTCTAACAAATGAAGACTTTTTTCTTAACCGTATTATTGTAGGCCAACTACAGTCACAGGAATTCTTTAATGTCATTTTGTTCTAGTTTTTACAGTTGTTTCAAATACATCTTTTTTATAGCTGCTTTGTTCTGATCAGGTCCAAATAAGGTTTACTACTGCATTTGGTTGATATATCTGTTCAGTCCCTTTAAGTTTATGATAGTTCATCTTTCTCTGCTGCCTTTTAAAAAGGTGCCATTTTTTTTGATGAAGAACCTGGGTCTTCTGTCCCGTGAAATGTCCCACATTCTGGATTTGATTGATTTCTTCTTTTAAGTATTATTTAACTCATTAATTCTCAAATTTACCTGCATATTTAAATCATCTAGGAAATTTTTTAAGTTATTCACACCTGAGTCCCACCCACTGTCTGACATTCTGACTTAATTGACCTTGGTTGTAGCCAAGGTATCAGTATTTTATAAAAAATTAGTTATTTTTATAGAGATGGCAGGAGAGGAAGAGAAATGTTGATCGGTTGCTTCTTGCAACTGAGGGCCTGGCCCACAACCCAGGCATGTGCCCTGACCGGGAATTAAACCAGTGACTGTCGCAATGAGCCACCGCTAGACGGGGCACGCTGCCGCGGGGGTGTTCCCCGAACCTGAGGGAAACCGGCTGCGGCCAGCTGAGATGGGAGCAGGGCTCTGAATCCCTCAGAGCCCGTCCCAGGGTTGTCATGGACGAGGGGGATAAACACGAAAAGTCGCAAACACTTTTCTGTTTGCCTGGATAGCAGACGGGGGCACTTCCCTCTAAGTGCAGAAGGCCGTTGCTCATCCCTCTAGTGGAGAAGGCCCCGTCGCCCTTTGTTCCAAGGCTTTTATTGAAAGTCTTACCAGTGGGGCTAGGTAGCAAGAATGCATATGTAATCTCATTACATTAGTAAGTTAAGTTTCACAGAGAATATATGCTTTTAAGAAAACGAGTGACAGGAATACATTGATTTACATGGGTCTGAGAGGAGACCGGTATAAACAAAAGATAATGTAGGTAAGGGCAAGCGCCTTAATGATAAAGGGTAAGGGGTGTAAATAATGTGAAGGTCCTTCGCAGCATGAGCTGACCAGAGATCCAAGGGAAGAACAAAGCACACTTCAAAGAAATTACTTTTAGGCCTGACTTCCCTGGCAACTGCCAGACCCGATTTAGAGCTGACTCCTGCACTGTTTCAAGCCTGAGCCAGGGGTGGGGAGGAAACCACCAAGAGATAAGGAGGCTGCTTCTCGTCTTCAGTGAGGACTCCGGCCTTGTCCAAGCCAAGCCGAGAGGTGCGGGGGCCTTTTTGCCCCTTCCCCGTGTCCCCCAGTTTCTTGTCTGCTGCCTGTATCAGTTGATGCCTGGCTTAGGTTGCCCCTCCCCCAGAGATCTTACCCATTGTTGACAGGGACCATGACAAGGCAAAGCAGAGAGGCAGGAGCTATGCCCCTGCTGGGGAGCAGGGGGTGGATACATCATGTCTCCTCAAGAGCCTGTTTCTCCAAGGCCTCTGATTCTTTCCAGCCTTGCAGCCCTCCAGCCTATTGGCAGGGTTACAGCTCCTGAAACCAGGCAGGGCATTTCCCAACAAGTGACCTTTTGGTTTGCAGGATAACGCCCAAGCTAATGAGCCAAATGAGCCAGGGCTGTTTTAAAAGCTACCCAATGATTCTTATGTGCTGTGGGGTTTGAAAACTGCTAATTTGCTTCTGGTTGTCACCAATACACAGGCATTAGCATCTAGAAACTTAATTAGATTTAGGTTCTCTTATCATGCCAACAATACTTCAGGGCAGTGCCCTGCTACATCATGTGGCAGCTCATCAAGAGAAAAAATAGGAGTAGTTTTCATTTGTAACAGCCTTTGGGACCTTTCATTTTACTAAGTTCTATCCCTTCCTCGTTATTCTTTGAACTGCAGAGGGATAGACTGAGGAATAAAAACTCAGGGATCATTGCAGTTTTAGAATAGCCACGCTATGGAAGCAACCCAAGTGCCCATCAATAGATGATTGTATAAAGAAGCAGTGGTACATATATACGATGGAATATTACTTGGCCATAAAAAAGCACAAAATATTACCATCTGCTACAACATGGATGGACCTAGAGGGTAATGCTCAGTCAAGTAAGTCATAGAAAGACAAATATTGTATCATATGGTATCACTTATGTGTGAAATCTAAAGAACAAAATAAAGGAACAAACCAAACAGAAACAGACTCATAGGCACAGAGAGCAGGCTGGTGTTTGCCAGAGGGGAGGGGTGTTGGGGAACTAGGTGAAAAAGGAGAGAGGATTAAGAGGTACATATTGGTAGTTACAAAAAGTCAGAGGGATGCAAAGTACAGAGCAGGAAATAGAGACAATAATATTGTAATAACTATGGAGCGAGGTAGGCACTAGAAATATCAGGCAGAATACTTTGTAAAGTGTTACATATGATTGTCTAACCACTGTGCTGTACACCTGAAACTGATAAAATATTCAGTGTCAACTATAATTGAAAAATAAAATGAAAAATACTAAGAAGTTTGTCAGCATGGTATTCATCCATTTAAAACTTCTATCAAACTTGCATTCCATGGGGTGGAAAGGGGACTTACTGATGTTTCAGTCCAGCAAAGTAACTGCAGTCACCTCTGGCTTAAAATCTACTGCCATCTGGTTCAAAGGAATCTCATGGCTTCCTTCCATTTGGGGGTAGGCCTAGCTTATTATAGGCTAGGCATTGTTCTAAATAGTTTACCAAAAAATCTCGCCTTATGCTCGCAACATCTTTATCTACTATTATTAGTCCTGTTTACTATAGATTGAGAAAATCAGGCAGACAGAGGTTACGTAACTTACTAAGGTCACCCAGGTAGAATGTGGTAAACCAGGTTTATGAACCCAGGTATCTTGGCTTGAGAGTCTTTGGATCTAACCACATGCTAGACTGTGAATGAGGTCTGGGAAGAAACCAGAAGAAAGGAAGCAGGAGAATAGGTCCTTGAAGCCAGGGAGTAGAGTTTGAGGAAGAGGGAAGCCTGTGAGGAACCGTGGGAAATGGAAAGTGGTAACGGGTCGAGGCGGGGGTGGAGGGAGCTACAGTTACTTTGGAGGTGGCAGTTTCAATGAGTTTATTGGCGGTTTGCTGCCTAGAGTGTGTGAACGGTGCGTGGAAGGGGAGGACTAGAGTCGGATGAGGGCGCTTCCTTTCAAGCAGTCTGGCTTCGAAGGACAGCAGGAAGCTGGAGGCGCAAGGCACGGGGGCTGCCGCTATTCTCTTACAGCAACTGCCTGGTGATGTTTCTCCGGGGAAGAAGGTCCTCCTGCCCAAACTCCAAGGGCTCCGAGGAAGCTCTGCTTTCTTCAGAATTGGTGTCGAGTTTATGCCAGCTCTTTAAGTCACGCTTATGTCCGAGCGCGGGGGACCCCAGCAGCATCCTTACAGAGGATGTCTAATGATACAGAACTTGTCACTCCTTCTCTCCCGCTACTGCCTCCCCGCAGTGGAGGTGAAGCTACGATGCAAAGGGGTTAATCTGAAAACAGCCACAGAGAGGCTCTTCCTAGAGAGCCCGGGAAGGCGATCGCCCGCGAAGCCGGCGTAGCTCCACCTTCAGCAGCGCGTTCTGGAGATTTGGGGTGGGGCGCAGAGGACGACGCTGCAAAGGCGCGGTTGCCGGAGAAACCTGTGAAGCTGCGCCTATGGGTGTCCCTGCCGTGTGACAGGCGGAAGGCGACCTCGCACCGCCGGGCATCTTCTGCGGAAACAGCTCCGGTGCAGGGACGCGCGAGTGCGGCCCGGGCCCAGGATGGCCAGAGAGTCGGGCCAGGGCGCGGCCCTGGACGCCCGGGAGGCCGACGACCGGGCCGGGATCCCGGCCGTAAAGGCGGAGGACGAGGAGGCCCCGGGTCCCGAGCGCTCGCGCCAGCGCTTCCGCGGCTTCCGGTACCCGGAGGCCGGGGGACCCCGCCGCGCGCTGCGCCGGCTCCGCGAGCTCTGCCGCCTGTGGCTGCGGCCCGAGACGCACAGCAAGGAGCAGATGCTGGAGCTGCTGGTGCTCGAGCAGTTCCTGCGCATCTTGCCCGCGGGGCTGCGGGCTCGGATGCGGGAGCTGCGCCCGCAGAGCGGCGAGGAGGCGGTGGCGCTGCTGGAGGATCTGCAGGGCCCGCGGGCGGAGCCCGAGCCGCAGGTAGAGGGCGGGCGCGGGGCTGAGAGCTCGACACTCGCGCGCCGAATGCGGGCGGTCCCGCGGGAGCCCAAGTCGCGGTCTGTGTGCGGGGAGCCTCCCTGGCAGTCAGGTGAGGCCCCGGGGCCCCATCTCACAGTAACACCTTTGACTACGTAAAGGATCACAAAAGAACTCAATAACGTTGAAATACAGTTGCGCGGCGTGTGTAAATGTGTGGCAAAGTTATACATGCGCTTCTGTAAATTAATGCACTAAATAGCAAGATCTAAGGACTGGCGTAGTAACTGGTCATTTCTAGGGATTACAAGCCTGAGTGACGCTGACATTTGCCAGGTTGTAATATGATGCGAATTCACCGTCAATTTCTCTCTCAAATACCCGTGTGTGCTTATGCCATTTGGTTTTGTTGCTTTCACTTATAACGGAAGGAAATGTTAAATCTCTTTTAGAGGCTAGTAAAAAATAATATCCCCCTGCACCCTTTTTACACTGATGGAATATTTGGGAGGGGGTGCCCCCTAGTGTTCTAATAGTGAAAACTCATTTCAAGTTGCTCATTTCAGGATCTTCATTTTTTTTTTTAACGTTTTTTTTCCCTTTTTTAAAAAATATAAAAATTACCTGAAAAGGGGCCCACCCCACCAGGCAGCTAGGCCAGACGCTGGCTGTGCCGATCCTGACATTCCAGGTGTAAATTACAAAGCTTAAGTTCATCACCAGAAAAGTAATAATATTAAAAAAAATTTGAAATGGCACCTACAATGGAGCAGAACAAAATTGCCATTTGGCCCACGAACCCACAGTGCAGTGCGGTCACTGGGTGGCTCCTTACTTCGCTCTGGCCAAAAAAGTAACACTGAACTAAAGACAGCAGTTTCCTGCAGGTGAGAGCGGGAGGGTGGTGCAGGATGTCGGAATTCTGAGCTGCACCTGAGAAGGTAACTTGGAAACTAACTTAACTATAAATTGCCTGGAGGGAAGCCTGCTTTCCACGAGGACATGCCATGTGCAGGGCCTGTGTAAGGCGATTTCAAACACGGTGACTGTATTTTTGGTCGCCGACCCTGTCAGCTGAAAAGCTGTGGATACGGCTTTGCTGCTTTCAGTGCGCTGGCCCTTGTTTCACACCCTTGTCCCGTTCTGGGCTGTTTCGGATTAAATTAAAGCCCTTCTCCTAATGTGTGGGATAGGTCCTTCTCTAGCGGTTATTGTCTTGACACCCGTGATGAGAGCGAGGATTAAGACGGTAAACGGGGGCCGTGCATTCCTGCACGTGGCCAACCCTGGGACCCATCCTGGGCAGAGGAGCTAGGAGGGGGTCCCCTGTTGTTTCAGGGGCTGCGGAAAATGGAAGCTGTGGCTCTGACTGTCTCCCCTGCACGGATGGAGCTGGAGTCGCCTCAGGCGCACGTGTGCGGAGGTGGAAGGCAGGAGGGCTGTGGCGCTCTCACCTCCGCGGGTAAGACGGACGGGCACCGGGGACTCATAAGGGTCCTGGCTGCCTCTGAGTCTCGGAACCACCTGGGCTGCTCGAAGCCACTGAGAGCCACGGCATTTGGATTCGGAGTCACGGTTTCTGAACCCTGTCGCCGACCAGCCCCTTAACCGTCTTGCCTTGCGCCCTAGTCCGGTGAAGCGGGATGAGGAGGCAGGACGGGTCTGGCTCAGAGCTGGCGCCCAGTCCGAGCCGAGTCCCCCTCTGTGGCGAGCCCGGGGAGGGGAGAGCTGGGGGGTGTCTTCCGGAAACGGGCCCGGGGCCGGAGCGGGGCAGCTGGAAGCTACTTAGCCATGAGGACGGAGCCTGACCTCGTCAGAGATGAGGGCGCAGAGGCTCACAGGAGGCCTGGCTGGTCTGAGTTCCAGTGGGGTTCCTCCTCGGGTCCCCCAGCACCAAGGCCGGCTGTGTGTGGGGACCCCGCGTCTGCCCGGGATGGGAGCAGGGGAGACCGTGCTTTCCTGAGCTCCGCCTTTCTCTGGTTTGTACAGAGCGCTCAGAAGTCCGTGCCCGCGCCTTGCCTGCCTGCCTGCCGTCCTGCCCAGCCCTTCATGGTCCGGTCCAGGGTGCAAGGCCCTGCCTGACCATCCCTCAGAGGCCAGCACTGGCCTCGCCCCTTCCCTCACCCTGTCTGTGCCCTTCTTCTGATGGACCCGCTCCCGTGCCGGGTCTCCTTTCCCCTGCCGCACCCCCGTTCTTCCTCTGCACCTCCATCCCCATTCCTGTGCTTAAACCCTCGTCCAGAGCAGAGCAGAGCAGAGCGAGGCCGCTGTGGTTCTTGCCGAGAGCGCTCCTCTGTAGCAGGGCATGACTGACAGCGGCTGGCCCTTTGTTCTTTCAGGTGGTGAAATGCAGGTGAAGATCAGGGACTTGCCTCTAGCTGAGGAGCATCCGGAACAAGAGCCGGGGCTGATGCGGTGCCACCAGGGCGAAGCCATTGCCCAGACACCCCCACGAGCAGGGGCAGGTGAACAGGGCAGGTTACAGACGAAGCAGAGGGACACCAGCGTGAGGAGGCGGCACGTTTGCCACGAGTGTGGAAAGAGCTTTGCTCAGAGTTCAGGCCTGACTAAGCACAGGAGAATCCACACTGGGGAGAAGCCCTATGCATGTGAGGACTGTGGCAAGTCCTTCGTTGGCAGCTCGGCCCTTGTCATTCACCAGAGAGTCCACACTGGGGAGAAGCCCTATGCATGTGAGGACTGTGGCAAGGTATTCAGCCACAGCTCAAACCTCATCAAGCACCAAAGGACGCACACTGGGGAGAAGCCCTACGAGTGTGAGGACTGTGGGAAGGCCTTTAGCCAGAGCTGCAGTCTGCTTGAGCATCACAGAATCCACACTGGGGAGAAGCCATACCACTGCAGCGCATGTGGCAAAGCCTTTAGGCGGAATTCGCATCTCCTGAGACACCAAAGGGTCCATGGCGATGGACATGTCCAGGATCCTGAGCGCGGAGAGACTTGGGAGAGTCACGGGAAGGTGGCGAGCCAGGAGGGGGAGGTCGCGGCTCCCGTGTCTTATAAATGTAATGAGTGCGAGCGAAGTTTCACGAGGAACAGAAGCCTTGTTGAACATCAGAAAATCCACACTGGTGAGAAACCCCACGAGTGTGAGGCATGTGGAAAAGGCTTCACCCGAACATCATACCTTGTTCAACATCAGAGAAGCCACGTTGTCAAAAAGATCGTGTCCCGGGGACCTGTATCTTTGGTGCCCAAATTGCTGCTCCTTCCTCTTTGAACGAAGCCTCCCTGGAGCCCCTCCTGACCACAGAAGTAATGGGCTGGGGCTTTATTCACCACACGCCCTCAGGCAGGTATTAGATCTTCCACATTCTACAGGGTGACTGGAAAAATCCTTGTTTGAAAGGAGGCCCTGGATTGTTGTCTGGGAGACGTAGGACCTGAGACAAGTTTGTCCCCATCTATTGGACTCCGGGGGCTTCCAGACTGGATCATCCCCTCAGCCACCACCTTTCCTGGGTCGGTGGTTCTGACTGAGGGGCTGCTGCTCTGGCTGCTCATTCTACCCACAGGGAACCCTCCAGCCGTGGGTTGGGTCAATGACGTCTTCTCCCCCCATGGTGCATTGCCTATAGCTGCTACATGTGAAATGACCTTCACTTCTCTGAAAATCTGATGTCTAGAATTCTGAGGAATTTCTACCTACAGCCACCTGTTTTTGTGTGTACTGCTTTGAGTTTCTAGATTTGGAGGTCAATATAGCGTATTTATTGCCAAGTACTTAAGACCGTCAGAGCTGGGTTGGAGAAATCCATGTTTCTTCACCAGCATATTCTCTTCTTACAGCTAATAATGTCTTAAACAGCTTCTTCATCATTAAGACATTGTGAGACTGGTCCACCCACACAACTCCATTCGGCAGTCAATGTCAGTTACCTTGTTTCACATTAATTTTGTTGCTCTTTAGGGGGAAACTGTTCACAATCAGGTAAATAAAGATCAGTTTATCAAGTCTGAGCAAAACAGATACAAATTCTATGATGTTCAACAGCTTATTTCTCAGCCTTTACTTTCCTTGGGTGTAACCAAAAGTCAAGACACCATCTGCATCTCTCCCTCCCAAATTAGAGCCATCGGTGTACCAAAGCTTATGCCAGCTGAGTTTAAGCTTCCTCCAAGCTAGAGGATTCACACCAAATATTTATAACCAGTATCATTCATGTTTTCAAAAGTGCCCTGTGGTTGGGCTAGGAAAATGTGGCCAGAGACAGCCAATGACAGGGCCTGAGTGTGGGCAGCAAGAGAAGCACATTGGGAACCGTGACTGACTAAAATGATTCCACAAGATCCAGGTGCCAACATGTGAAGTCAAGACTATGCTGCGAATTACTCACAGTAAGAATTTTGTAATATCCTTGTTTTCACCCAAATCACCTTCTGTGAGTCCTTCAAAGACTGGTATCTTCTCCTAGTGAGTACACATCACTTGCTTCCAGCTGTACCAGGCTCTGCCAAGCATACATTCAGGTTCTGATGAAACCCTGACCATGTCTTGTTCAGTTACCTTCCTGGATTCCTGCTTTGCCTGAGCACAGGCTGACTAGGGACTTTGCAAAACACAGAGCTCTCCCTTTGTTAGTCCTGCAACCTTTGACTTCAGTCCCCTCACTGCAGTCTTACTTGAACCTTTAGGTCTTACAACCCTATAAACTTTTTTCCACTTAATCATTCCTAGTCTTTTAAAATTTCCTTTTACATTGACCTTTTCTGTTACCTTCACAAATTACTCATTTCCTTTTCTCTCATTTTTATTTTTCCTAAGTATTTGCTAATGGCTTTGATCTTAAACACTGTTCATTTTTCTCTAGTGTTTGTTTCTTTTATCATATGAAGAGATATATACATGAAAGCCTTTTACAAACCAGAAAGGATTGTAGAAATATAACTTACTGAGATTAACACAGGACCACTGTGCCTCATTTTACTCTTTCTGCCCCTTCTGAGCACAAAACACTTCTCTGTAGAGAAGGCAAACATTGTAGAAAAATACTTTTGATTACTGGCTTTCCTGACTCAAATGAAAGGGATAAAGTACGTGCATGCAGGTGCACGCGCGCACACACACACACACACACACACATACACACTTGAGCTTAGGCATTCTGTACAGTCTCATTGCTAAGACTTGCACGTAAGTGAGACAGTGCCGGGATAAATTACTTGAGTATAAAGAAGGCTGTGGAAGTTCAGAGGAAAAGGTCACTTCTGGCTATGAGCTGTTTTTAATCCATGAAAAGTGACACGTTAGCCGAAAAGACAAGAGGAGTTTGTCAAATTTAGTAAATAAGGCAAGTTTGAAGAGGTAGGAACATTGTAGAATACTTTTGTGCTGGAGCAAAGAGTTTAAATTTTATTCAGTAAGTACCCTGACATTTTATGATAAAAATATTACCAAGAAAACTAAGGGTTGTGTAATTTCAAATAAAAAAATAATTTGCTGCTAGTCTTACACATGCCAATTGTGTGTAAAACAAAGGTATATTTATTAATAATACCCTTATTTATTAGTAAGGGGATTCTAAAATGAGTTTAACTCTATCCCATTTAAAAGGATGACAACAACATAAAATTTTTCAGATGAAATTATATCCAGTAAAACAAGCTGCTGAGTTAAGATACAAGCAGTATAGCAAGTGGAATAAAATGCCACTTTCTATGCTTTTTGAAATTGTTTTTAGGAATTTTAGTGGGAAAAAAATAACAGGCATGACAACTTAGCTTACAGGGTTGTGAGGATCTGATTATATAAATAAGTGCTGTGTAAATAACCTGAAAACATCGATATTGGTAGAGGAATGGAAATTACTTTGTTCATCAAAATTTCTATATATTGGGATGCCAGTTAAACAATAAAGACTACCTTTAAAAAGTATCCTGTATCTGACAGTGTTGATATTCTTGTAATGATATTCCAAATCACGTATGGTTCCATCTCAATTGTTCATAATGGGAACTTTACCCACTAAGTAAACTCAATTTATCTACTTGTCTATAAACACCCTGTTTAGTCTTTTTGTTTTCACTCATGACAGCCAAATTTGGGTCTGAAGAACTCAATTGAAGAAACTTTTTCAGTCAGCTTTGAATATGTAATATCTATTTCATACATCTCCAGTAGAGTTGCTACTACAGAAATGTTTCAGGATGGCTATTTTTGTGGGAACTTTTTTTGTTGACAATTGTAGAAATATACTTTCATTTCTGCCCAGAAACTGTTCTAAACAATTTACTAAAGAATTTGTCCAAGTTCATGATTAAAAACTCAAAATACTCTACAAAGACATATATAGATGTCTTGTCTACCCCGATCCCCCTTCAACTTACCACCTCCACAGATAATCACTTTTAGTTTCTTGTGTCTTTCCAATTTCTTTATACAACATGCATTTTTCATGCCTCTGATTTCTGACTCCCGTTGGGTGCACGGAGAAGGTCCCCCACAGATCAGCTGTGGGTCTGCTGTCCCATCTACCCCGTACCCTCCATGGCTTAGGAGCTGAACCATGTCCAGGGGCGCCGTTCTATCACGTGACTCCGAAAAAGCTCACGGTGCGGGGACCACGTGCACGCGAATTCTTGCCCGGGCCGCGACCCATGGTTACCATGGAAATGCGTGCTGCTGTCGTCAGCAAAACGCGGCAACCCGCCGTCCCAGCCGAACCCCTCGGAACCCCTCCGGTCTGCGGCTGGTCAAGCTGGAGTTGCCCGCCCCTGTCCTTGCTCCAAAGTGCCTTCTCCTCCCCACTGTGTTCACTCCCCTCACAGCCCCGAACTGCCGGTATTGACTTCAGGCAACAACGAAGGATAAACGTCATTTTTTTTCTGAGTAAATTATCTTAAAGCTGGGTCTGTTATCAGATACCTTTGAGTTAACTTCTTTTAATCCTCACCTGAGGATGTTAATTGATTTTAGAGGCCGGGAAGGGAGAGAGTGAAACATGGATGGGTGACAAACATCAACCGGCCGCCTCCCGCATGCGCCCCACTGAGAACGAACGCGCAGCCCTTTGGGGCACCGGATGATGCCCCAACCGAGCCACCCGGCCAGGGCTCTGAGTAAACATTTTTAATTTCAAAGAAAAACTATCAAGAAGACAGGGGGACATTTGCTCTGATTTTTTTCAGAAGAAAAGGTTGAGAGGGGGCGGAAATGCCAGACTCCAAAAAAAAGGTGCTTTCGTAAGGCATTCAGCTACGCTTTCTTCACTGAGGCAAAATGAGAGTAACTCAAAAACAGCTCCAGGGTCCCTCAGCTGCCAGCCTCAGCACAGCGGGGCCGTGGGACCTTGCGCCGCCGCGAGACGGGCGAAGAGCGAGGGGCGGCGCCGTGGATCTCGGGAGCCGCAGCCTCAGGGGGCGGGGCCGGGAGGGGACGCTGTGAAAACGGACGAGGGAGGCGCGTAGGAAGGGCGGGGCGAGGGGGGGGTAGGCAGGTCGACGGGACCCGCAGAGCCACTCAAACCCCAGCAGAAGGGAGTGTGAGTGGACTCCCCTGGTTCTCGGAGGCCTGAGGAAACGAACCATAGAGGCCCGCAGTGGCCTGGAGGGGCGACTTCCGGGAATCCCGCCCTGAACACCTGGGGGTCCGCTCTAGGTTCCGGGAGGGTCCCTCTCAGTGGGCAAAGCCTCTGGAACCTGGATTTTATTACCGTCAACCTAATGTGACCCGTCCAAGCCACATTACCTCTTAGGGCTTCTATGTACAGAACAATGGGTTAGAAAATAATCTGGAACTTATTCTATAGAGTATATGAATAATTAGAGAGAGCAATGCGGTTTTTTGGTGTATTACATTTACACTATTTTTTACCTCTAGGGTTGATCTTTTTTAAACCTGTTGGAGGAAGTACCATTGAGTTACAAAAGGAGACCAGTTTTTAAAAGGTTCTTTAAACTAATATAGGAAATCACATTTTCCCTTACAAATTTGCTTTCCTAAGTAGGATTAAACGAGTATGTTAAAAATTTGCGAGTGGGCCCTGGCTGACGTGGCTCAGTGGCTTGAGTGCCAGCCAGCAAACCAAAAGGTCATCAGTTCGATTTCCAGTCACGGTACATGACTGGGTTGCAGATCAGGTCCCCACTAAGTTGTACATGAGAGGTAACCACAAACTGATGTTTCTTTCTCCATCCCTTACTCTCTCTAAAAGTAAATAAATCTTTTTAAAAAATGTAAGTGGGAATGTGTTTACTTGGCAAACCCTTGGGGAGTTGGTTATTACTCAACTATGGTTGCCCAAGACTGTTGGGGGTCGTGTGCTGTCCTCAAAGACTCGGGCAAATTATCAGCCCCCTGCCACAGGGACAAACCTCAGGGTTTTAAACCTTTCATCCGACGTAATGAACCAAGACGGAGAAGCCAGAACTAGACTTGTACTCTGGCAACACTTCCCACCTGATGTAAGGGTGGAAACAGGTCTGATGCTGAAAGCAACCTAGCAGACCAACAATTTAAAGCTTCCCTTCACCCTGGCATATACATTGCAGTGAATGCCAAACATTAGGACCTTTTCCTTTTATAATTTTATAAACTACAAAGTACATATACACTTAGGATTCTTGTAAAGCTTGGCATAGCTAATTTTTCTAATTACAATGCTAGTATTTCTCTATATACCTTAAACATACCTAGATCAGTGTGTCTCAATGGGATATTTTGTTGTCGTCGTGTCCTGTGCATGCAAGATATTTAGCAGCATCTCTAGCCTCTATCCACTAGTTGGCAGGAACATCCCAGCCATCAATGATGTCTCCAGATGATGCTACGTTTCTCCAGTTGAGGACCACTGAACTGATACAAAAGCCTAGCCTCATCCACTTCTGAATACCGCAGTAATCTTTACTGTTTACTATTTTTTGTAGCAAATAAGTAAGTCTGGCCAAACAAATGGAGAATTCATACTTCAACCTTTCACAAATACCCTCCCAAAGTTGGAATTTTGGGCCTTAGTCTTAGATGTTGGCAGTGACTGTTACACTGTGGAAATAGGTCTGTGCACAAACTGGTAACAGATACACATCCTTGAAAGCAGTGTAAAAATTCCTGTAGTTAACACCACAAATAATCCACACAATAATGCGACAAGCATTTATTAAACGCCTACTGTGTGCTCAGCACCGTACTAGGCACTAGGGGTGCAGAGATACAAATGTAAAATTTTTATTCCTGCCCTCAAGGAGCTTACAATTTAATTTTAGAAATAAATACAAATGTGAAACTACAATAGAGTGCTAGAAAATAATTGCAAAGCTACATATTAGTAAGTGCATGGACCACAGTACAAACGAAGGATCAGTGCTCAGGCAGCACAGAGTAAGTGCGGTCTTGGTGCGGGCACAGTCAGTCAGGGAGGTCCCCCTCAGAAGACAGAAGGGAAACCAGATTTTGAAGGAGGGTGATGAACATGAGCTGGGGCCAAAGAGCAAACTAAGCAAAAGAAACAGTATGAGAAAGGCACAGAGGCAAGGTCAAGGGCTTGTAAGACAACAGCGAAGGCCACAGGAAGTATCCTGTGATGATGTAGGTGAGTATGTTGGAGAAGAGCCTGCAGCAGGCCGAGCGTGGAGGGCAGGTAACAGAGCACTTGGAACATCACTGCTCCAACAGGAATTATGTGCTGGCTGTTCTTGACTGAAAGTGAAGCATCATGGAAACGGAGTTTGAGGAGATTATCTTAAATACCTACAAGATGAGGATCTTGAGAGCAAGGGCACTGGAAATAACCTAGGCCCCAAATACAGATCTGAACAGAGAACTATGAGGGGATAGCAGAAATGTAAATGTCCAGCCTCAAGGAGAAAAAAATTGGAACTTACCAAGATTTAGGACATGTAGAGTGGAAACCAGAACAACTCCAAGAGTGGGATGAGAAACATAAAGGGTAGTAAGTTGGTTTAGGGTAAATAAATTAAGCAATGATACCCATTTAAAAAGAAAATGGTATTTGGGGGATAAGAGGGGGATAAGATACGAGTTCTGTTTTCAAGTAACAAGGTGTGTAGAGAGATGGTGGTAAATATTGTTCCTGACGATCAAAACGGATAAACTAGGGTGAGGACAGAAAAACTAGTGAATATGCTCGGTGGAGAGCAAGAGAAAAAATAAAAATAAAAGCTAGAAATTGGAGAAAAATGACCAAAGAGGGTCCCACAGGCCAAAGAAGAGATTTCCTGAGATACAGGGTAAACCCAACAGTATGAAATACAGATTAAGACAAGAACTAAGAAAAGACACAATATTTATTCACTGCTGAGTCTGAGGACATTTCAGTGGAGTGCTGAGTACAAAAGCCAGTTAGGAAGTTTTAAGGATAGTTTATTGAGGAAATACATTGAACAATGGCTGACATGTTTGAAAAACCTTAAATGCCAGAAGAAAAATGGAATGGTCATTGGAAATGAGCAGTAGGTAGGCTATCCACATTTCGTGCTTAAGATAAACTTCCTACTGTCACCTGTCTATCTGTCTGGCCTGTTGCGTGGATATTTCATTTCTCTCTGTATTTCTGCTTTCCCTGGGGCAGTTCAGAGAGAAATGTATTTGAGTCTATAAATTACTGTGTTGTACTCCTGTTTACTCATTTAAACATTTTTACTTACACATTTTATTGTGCTGCTAGAAAGCATCGAAAGCATCACCAATTAATAATGACGTAATTATAAAGCAAAATAGCATTTTCAACCAATCTTCTAGGAATTTTAACGGATTTGCACTATCCTGCACATTTCTGTTCTAGGGATACAAGATTTCACATAGCTGGCCAGGGTTAGGGTGTTCATCAGAGATGCAGCAGCACCGTGGTCGGGAGCACAGGGTCAAGAACCAGACTGTGTAGGTTAGAATCTCTGCTCTGTCACTTACCAGCTATGTGATCTTGGTCAACCAGTTTCACTGTCTAAGTCTCAGTTGTTCACTTATGAAATGGGGGATATAGCATCTACCACAGCACAAGAAATGCTTAACATAGGGTCCAGTGCACACCAAGTGCTCAGTAAACATCAGTCACATCATCTAGAGCCTCAGAACTACGAGTAAAGCTCACAGCTCCACAGGGGAGCCAACCCCCACATTATAGCACCAATACCTTGCTCAGGGGAGGCAAACTCCCAGGACTATGTTGGGTGGCAGTGGAGTTCTGGAATAACCATTTTGTCATTCAAGGTCCATTTAAAAGGAGGAGCTGAGGAGGCAGAGGAAGTATACTGGTGAGCAGTTCACTGCAGATTAAGACCATAAAAACAAAATCTGCAGGATAAAGGGACTTCCTGTGTGTCACTCTTTTACTACTGAGCCCTTTAATCAGGTGCTGAGTCAGCACTGATGGTTCCTTCAAGTCGCCCTTTTTTCACATTTACCCAGTATAACACTGATCTCTCTGGTCATATTTTATTTTCTCTGAATTTCTGCCAGATGCTACATATTCTCCCATGTCCATCCTACGTGATACTTGCAGACAGGCAGCACTGGGCCTCAGGCAGAATTAGTCTCTTACAGAGCGTAAGGCACAACTGAAGCAGAGAGCACAGATCTAGAGACAACCAGGTTCATTTCTGGTTTCTCGAAATTTCAAGTACAAGAGAATTAGGAATGATAATCCACAGGAGAGAGAAACAGAGAGAGAGGGGGATAAAGGACATGTACCAAAATAAACCTCTCTGCGCTGGCACATGAGCACGTGCACACAGATACAGACACGCACGCACGCGAAAGCACTCTCTTGAAAAGTTCACCAAGGGAACCAGGATGACAAATGACAGTGGGGAACCAGTAACTCAATCAAATAGGTGTAGGTAACCTTGGTGTTTGTGGTGAAGGTAAGCCAAAGGGGAGGAAAGGATATTACAAGGAAGGAATTTATGATCCCAAAGGGGGACCTCTATGATGTCACATTTTATGACTGATTTCTAAAAAATATCAATCAAAAAATAACAGTTAAGTGCTGTCCCTGTTCGGAATAGTCACAGTGCGAAGTCATGTAACTTTTCTTGGAGTTTTCAGCAGGACTTGTATCCTCCTTTTCTGAGTAGGATTAATGGAACTGATGCCCATTATGAAAGACGTTGGAAATAACCAAAAGTTACTCGATTCCAAATCTGGTGAATAAGTGGATAATCAAACAGTTGAAAACAAGATGTGATTCTAAAGTAATGTAGTTTCCCTGTGTAGCTTATCACATGGGGGTGTCTGGAGCAGTTGCCACTGCTCAACAGTAGCACCACCGGAATAGCCACAACCACCCAGCTGAAAGGACACCTGTGTGGATGCGTGAGCCCTGATGCTACTTTAAACCAGCCTCCAAGATGAAAGGCAGTCCTGGTGATGATGAGTTTAGTGTTGTCTCTGCTGGGTTACAGGTGGGATGTGCCAAATTGAGAAGAATGAGCCACTGTGAGGTGAGGTACTTGAGAGATCACCAGTGTGACAGATAAGCTCATGGCAAGACGAGGATGGAGAAAGAGGTGCCGGCCACCTGAAAAGGGAGTCCAGGGCAATGACAAGAGGGACTGACTATTTAGTCAGGAACCTATGAGACTGGTGCTGGCATGGGCCAGAGGAGTGAGTACACATTCTGTGTGAGGATTTGTATATCCTCCTCAAGCCTGTCTCTTTCCATGTGACGCCATTAACTATGATGGTGTAAAACACCCACCTGTACCAGAGCATGCAGTGTGGAGGCGGAAAGGAGAGCCAGATGTCACCACAAGGGCCAATCATCCACACGTGAGAGCAGCCGGGCTGGGCTGTCTGCACTCACCTTTCTCTGTAGAATCCAAGAACCCTCACTAAGGCGTCACTTCCTTGGCTGCCTTGGGACCTGGACAAGGATACGTGGGGTGTGCAATGACTACAGTGGAGTCAGTGAAGATGATGGAAGCAAGACTCTGGAGTGCTGTTCTGAGTTTGCGTGGGAATACGAACTTCCACGGACCACCAAGAACATCAGAATAAAATGCACACTGAAACATAAATACATTGTGTCTGTAAAAATTTCCCTAGAACTAGGATCTTAGAATGCTAACTACAAATTGAAGCCTCACATAGAGGCTGCTTTAAACTCTAAAGCAGCTTCCTGGGTAGATGAGGAGCACATGTCTCCCTTCAAGGGAATAACCGGGGAGGGGTGGCGGGGCGGGGCGCACAAGGAGAAGCAGGGGAGCCAGGAGCAGCCTTGCTCTATAGCTACTCACCCAGAAGACAAAGTTAGGTGCCGCCAGCCACTCTAATGCTCTTTAAGCTTCTACAGGGTACATTGGGCCATCAGACACCTCCCAGGACAGTCAGACTAATCAACCTGCACCGAGGCAGTGGACCCACCTACTCAAGACCTATTCTAATTGCGACCACTACCGATTCTGACCCTACATCGGCTCGCAGCGAGGATAAACTTTCTGCCTTTTTTTTGCACTGAAAGAACTGTCACCTGCATGTGGTTCCTTTAATGTTGAGTAATGCCCAAACTATGACTCATGTCTTCCCCTAAACTCCAATGGACTCAGGTTTCTCTCCACTGTGGATTCTTTGATGTCGAATGAGACTCGACCTCTGAATAAAGGCTTTCCCACACTCATTACACTGATAGGGCTTCTCCCCTGTGTGGATTCTCAGATGCTGAATGAGGCCAGTGTTCCCGTTGAAGGCTTTCCCACATTCTTTGCATTTATAGGGCCTTTCTCCAGTGTGGATTCTCTGATGCTCAATAAGGCCTGACTTCTGACTGAAGGCCCTCCCACACTCATTGCATTTGTAGGGTTTCTCCCCAGTGTGGCTTCTCTGGTGGCCAATAAGATGTGAGCTCCGCCTGAAGGTTTTTCCACACTCATCACACTCATAGGGCTTCTCCCCAGTGTGGATCCTCTGATGTCCAATGAGGTGTGAGCTATGACTGAAGGCTTTCCCACACTCATTACATTCATAGGGTCTCTCCCCACTGTGGATTCTCTGGTGCAGAATAAGGCCCGCACTCTGACTGAAAGCCTTCCCGCACTGGTTGCACTGATACGGCTTCTCCCCAGTGTGGATTCTCTGGTGCAGGATCAGGCCTGTGTTTTGACTGAAGGCTTTGCCACACTCCTTACAGTGATAGCGTTTTACTTTGTTGTGGATGTCCTGATGGGAAAGAAGGGCTGACCTGTAACTGAAGGCTTTCCCACACACATTGCACTGGTAGGGTTTCTCCCCAGTGTGGATTCTCCAGTGGCGAACGAGGCCTGAGCTCTGAGCAAAGCTCTTCCCACATTCATCACATTTGTGCCGTCTCTCCTGGGTGGGGTTTCCCCGATGCCTGTCCAATCTGCCCACGTCTTGGGCTTCTCCACGCTGGAGACTCCCGATAACATCCCCATTACATTTGGCAGCTCTCTCTCCATGTAGTTGGACTCCGGTGGATGTTACCTGTTTCGAAGCTAATTCCCTGTTATCATTCTTGGTCTCACCACCTGAAATAAGAATGTAATTAATAACCATCAAGCCAATGTCACTTCTTATTCTATCTGTTATAAAAAAGGAGTCAAAGCTAGGGGAAGAGTAAAATACACCAGAAACAGCTACAAGAAATGCAAACTTGTCTCCAAAATGCCTTCTTGATGTGGGGAGAGGGGAGCAGGTCAAAACCAAGCACCACCAGCTACCTGGGGACGAAGTGCCATGAAAAAGTAGTTGTTGGGAGGGGGACTAAAGCGAGGAAGGGGTCAGCTAAGGAGAAGGGGAAGTCGGGCACTGGGAGGAATATAGATGACGAAAAGATCTGAGTGGGACAGAAATGGAAAAAAGCCCCAAACAGCCTTAAAAGGCAGGAGCACAACCAGCCTAAGTAAGGGCAATGTATGTAAACACCTCAAGGGAAATGGGGGCAGAAGCAACGCGTGAACCCAGAGAGCGCTAAAAGAGTAAAGTAAGTCCATCCTGGACTGGAGAATGAAAGTTTCATTTTAGACCTCAAGAAGTCTCAACATTGTATTTCTCCGTGGGATCCTGAATTTAAACTCAACTATGTCTTTCAGAAAGCTCACAATTAAGTATACATAAAAAACAAATGAACAAAAAACACCCTAAACTGATAGTAATACCCAGAGATCTCCTTACCCAGGGTGAACGCATTTCTGTAATTCTCTGGCCTGTCATCTCCACTCAGGTCTTTCTGGGATGGGTCAAGAAGCCACTCCTCTCGAATCAGGGACACGGCCATGTCTTCGATCTTCTCCAAAGTCTGAAACAGAACGAGCAACCATTTGAGGACTGGGATTGCTCCACAGCTCAAACCCAGAGTCTCAGAGACCCACTGGGGTTGGACAGGCTTAAGAGCTGGGGACATGCCGTACAGAGGAATCTGAACGGCTGGGAAGAAGAAAATGTGCCAAGTCAAGGATCAGTCTGTCTCTATTCAAAGTAATTTAGGGCAAAGTTCTTGGATGAGTATCGTGACAAGCAGTCCACACACGGTCGATGCCATTAATATAACCAAGGACAGCTATGGGGTTTCAGTGAGGAGGAGCACAACTCACCTGGAACCCTGCTGTAAGAAGTGACGCCGTCACCTGGTCTCCAGGACTTCCTTCTTGGGAAGGGGTGGGGCTCTGAGATGCAGATGCGGCTGAGGAGGAGAAAGGAGTCGTGAAGGAGGCCAGCCTTGCTCTGTGCTTGCGGGAGCCAGCAGTAACCCATTCTAAATTATCTGTATTTCGGCAGGAATGCCCGCCAGAGGGTTTCCCTATGAAATGCTGATAGCCTGGGCTCTGTGCCCACACCTCTTGCTGTCCGTGAAACACTGTCCTTTGATGTTCCACTCAGCCCGCAGTGCCCGTCAAACATACCAAGTGTACAGCTTCCTAACAGGAACGGCTCTATAATTTCTCCTGTGACGGAAGCTACAGTCTATCCCTGTGCCTGTCAGGATTCCTTTAGGTCCTGGTCTCCGGGCAATCTCTCTGTAGTTACTCTGGTACCTTCTGAAATGACTACAACAACTGCCAGCAGCTGCTTCCCACAGACACCAGACAGCACAAAATCAAAACTGGCAACAGGCTTTAGAACTTCAGATGAAAATTATATTAATAATTGAAATTGTTTCCATGTTTTTTTCTCTAGACACATTAGAAACCCATCTATATAGAACAAACTACTATAACCTACATAAATAAAAAAATAATAAATGCAGGGCAAGTATGAGACCAGAATCCTTGTTCTGTAAGAAAGTAAGTTCTCAGAAAATGATGGGAAAATGTCAAAAGGACTCTCTGGTAAATCTGAGACAGTTTAAGCATCAAAATAAACATAGTAACAGAATATTTATGAAATAAAATAATACCTTATTGACTCTATACTAATAAATTAAAAAATACTAAAGTAAAATGGGGAAAAGAGAATAGTCTCCATTACAATAAAAAAAAATATAAAAGGAATAACAGAGTTAGAAAATTTTCATTTTGTAACTGTCTTAGTAATCACTGACTGAGTGAAGAAGCACCAATTAATACTAAAATTAGTATTTTGGTAACAATAGTGTGATGAGGACCAGGCTATTTACACAGACTCGAGTATCCTCCCACAAATTACTTATTAATAACAAAGAGAAAAACAGTAACTTTACTGCCAATTAACCCAGGAATAATAACCTTAACCAAGTCATCAATAACAGGACAAATCCCCGCTGTACCTGAGAATAACACAATCTCACTTCTGGGGTGTTCCTGCCAAATAGACATAACTTGAACCTAAATATTAGGAAACATCATACAAATCTAAATTGCAGCCACTTTACAAAATAGCTGACCCATACGCTTCAAAAAAGTCAAGATTGTGAAAAGCAAAGAAAGGCTGAGTCACTGAAGTGCTGCCCTGGACGAACGCTATTGGAACCACTGGCAAAACATGCGCGTGAACTGTGGACGAGCTGCGTAGTGATCAGTGATACGCCCGACTGGCTGAGGGAATACATGCTGGGATATCTGCAAACAGAGTGGTATGATGAAACCAGACGATGTCAAAAATGTCTCGTTGGAAATATGTTGAGGTAACAGAAATGTACGAATACATAAAAATCCCTAATTCTTTAATTTCTTCATGAGTTTAGACTTGGGACTGACAGTGTACATGTGAAGCCTAGGTAAACATTTACATCAGACCTAAGAGTGGTGTGTGAAGAGTGCCTCCCCAGGAACGAGGTGAAGTTCCTTCCTACTTCCTCCTCATCAGTGAAGTCGGCTCCTCACCTCTGTCTCGGGGCCCGTGGAGCATGGGGGCCGCGTGCCGGGTTTCCGTAGGCTGGAGCTGAGCGTCTGGGGGCTCTGGTGCAACTTCCGAGTGCACCACCTCCTCCCAGAGGGCCCTGTGTCCATGTGCACGAGCCGGGACCTGGACACAACGGGCAGGTGCATTACGAGGGATCCCTCTGAGAAGCAAGGTGAGGGTGTGAGAGGACCGAGAGCCCATTTACAGGGCACGTGCTGATTTCCTCTGGCAGCAAGTAGTACTAACACGCTAAGTAGCATAGCCACCAAAGGAAAAGCTCTGCTGCGTCCTCCCTGGGCCCAACACCAACACACTGTGCTCCCAAGGTTGGGGAAGAAGGACGATAAACAGGAACAGAGCAGGGCTAGTCAGTGGGAAAAAGCCTGTGATGGGGAACTGGGAAACCTGAGTTCTGGTCTCAGGTCTACCTTTAATGTTTGGGTGCCCCTGAGAAAGTAATTTCAGCTCTCTATACATCTGGTAAACAGGAGCAGTAACACAGTATAGAGATGTTAGGAGGACAAAAAGTGGATTTATAACCTTAAAAAGAAGAACTCTGTAAACACAAACCATGCAACCCCATGACTGCTCTTGCCCTCCAACAGCAGAAACTCCTGCCCGGCACGTACTCCCCCTCCACCCAGCCTCCGGGACGCCCAGTCACGGCACACACACCTCCAGCTACTTACTGGTCGTCCTAGTATATCAATCTGCCTCTCCAGATCCTCCAACAGGGTAACCACCTCCTCCCCACTCTCCAGCTGATGCTCCTTCACCAGGGACTGCAGCTCCGCGGGCAGGATGCTCAGGAACTGCTCCAGCACCAGGAGCTCCAGGATCTGCTCCTTGCTGTTCAAATCTGGCCGCAGCCACTGGTGGCAAAGTGCCCGGAGCTGGATCAGGGCTTCTCGGGGTCCTCGGGTCTCCTGGTAGCACAGCCTCCTGAACCGCAGGCGGAACAACTCTTGGCCAGGAGGGTTGTGTTCATGTCGACTGGATTCCTGGTCCCAGCCATGATCTTCCTCGACCTTAACAATTACAAGGTCCTCCTCAGGAGCCTGGTTGGGTGGGGATGGGGCTGAAGACTTTCCTGATTCTGCGGCCATGTAGGGCTGGAAAAGCTCAGAAGGCTTGTTTCTACTACCTTCTTTATCTTCTTAAGAGAGAACCTTCTGAGGGCTTCTTCTTTAAGGGGACTTCTTGAGGAAGAGAAAATAACAGTGTTAAGGAAAGTCAAAGGTCATAGTGATTTACGAAGACATCTCAAGCTCCCTATGATATGGACTTCACAGCTTGGTCATTGGTAAGTCTTCTCCTCTGTCTTCCAGAAGTAACTCCTTACCTCTGTAGCCTTTTCTCATACCAACCCATTTGTTTTCTCTCCTTGGGGATGTGGAACATGGGTAAACAAAGTCAAGAAACCAGGTGCACTGTGTCTAATTGAAGTTCTAGCCCTCAGAGATGCTGACTTAACTTCTCCCAGCATTTGCTACACTAGCTGTACTGTTGCTATACACTTTAGCTCTCAACTTGTCCCTCAGTCTCAACAGATGGGACTAATTTCCAAATAGTTTAGCTTGAGGTACTGTCAGGGACTGTCCTTCCCCACCTAACATTCATTTTCTTGCCTGGGCTCCTGTCTTCCCTCCGATCTCACGGTGAACCTCTACTGTTGACCCTGTCACGATCTTCTTCCCTTTGGAACACTGGTTCTGCATCTCCAAGGAACCTGGATGCCCCATCACCATCTACAAACCCGAAGTCTAGTCCCAAACCCTAATGACCTTCCAGGATGCTTTATAATTTAGATCATCTTGGATGAAGCCTTGGGAGTTTGGCATCCTCACTCAGCATAACACATCTGAGATCATCAATGTTGTTGCATCTTATAAGTATGTTTATCCATTCTCCAGTTAAGACTCCTCAGTTGATTCCAGTTTTTGGTTACAAATAAAGCCACTATGAAGTGACATAGTCATTTCACTTGGGTAAATATCCAGAAGCAAATGTGCTGAGCTTCATGGTAAATGCGTGTACAACTTTTAAGAAACTGTCACACTGTTTTCCAAAGTGGCTGCTACAGTTTGCATTCTTCTAGCAACATGTGAGAATTATAGCTCCTCCATATTGGACCAAAATTTGACTCTGTGTGTGTGTGTGTGTGTGTGTGTGTGTGTGTGTGTGTGGTAAATTAAGATATTCTAATAGGTATGTAGCAGGATCTCACTATGGTTTTCATTTGCTTTTCCTTACTGACCAATAATGTTTAGCATCCTTTCATGTGCTTATTTCCCACCTGTATATATCCTCTGGTGAAATATCTGTTCAAGACTATTGCCTGTTTTTAAAATTAGGGTTGTTTATTTTAAAAATTCTGCTGCAGAGCTCTTTAGCTCAGTGATTCTCAACTGGGGGCAATTTTACCCCCTTCACCAAGACACTTAGCTATGTCTAGAAACAATTCTCTTGTCACAACTGAGGGGAAGGGGTGCTACTATTATCTAGAGGGTAGAGGCCAGAGATGCTACTAAACATCGTGCAATGCAAAACATAGCCGCAAAAACAAAGTGTCCACACCAACGGTGATAAATCCGGGTCCAGCTGAAACCATTCAACTCTTACTTGAAAGTCTCAGCTTGACTATTCCCCCCTCCCTTTTTTTTTTTTTACAAGACCTCTCTGTTGTCCCCACCCTGTACCCGTGCCCTGACCAAGCAGATTAAGGTGCTCATTCTTGTCTAGGTGTTTCTCACATGGTCCTAATACAGGGTTTATCACATTGTGCAGAGTGCTGGAACTGTCTGCCTATGGCCATAGTTTTCTTGCAAATGCCTATCTGTGGCAGTGAGCTTTTTCTTTTTTAAACATGGAAATTATATTACATGTCTGTTTGCCAGAGAGATCACAATAGCAGAACAATATAAAATGGATTGAAGAACATAACTGAAGGCAGAATATCCAAAAGTAGTCGGCAAGAGAAGCCAACGTCCACATAGCGCCACAGACCTAGAGTCCACAAAGGGAGGGAACCGACACTCAGAAGGAAAACCTGATTATGTGCAGTTCTTGACATAGGTCTTCAGAGCAGAGCCTCTCTCTTTCAAGGCTTCTTTGGTTGGGGATAGGGGGATGTTGGTTCAGTCTCTACGATCTAATGAAAACAGAGAATTTCTCCCAAGGAAAAAACCTACAGGCATAAAAGTTTATATTCAATTTCAGCAGAGTTCACAGACCTGACACCCATCAAGATCTCCAGGAGGGTTATGAACCCCTACTTAGGAAAGGAAGAGAATTTGAATATTATCTTTGAAACGAGACAAGGCTAGGAAAAATAGTTTGGGGAGTAAACTACATACAGGAAGAACCAAAGAGCAAGAGATATGGTTAAATATGGTGATTAACATCAGAGAGTTTAAATCATGGATGATGACTTTACAGAGAAGGGGGGGATTTCCTGGAACAGTAAGATTTGAGGAAGAGTGAATTTGGGTTGAGATTTTCTGGAGGGTTTAAGACAAGGGGTAAGCAAGTTTGTTTTGAACAGGCAGGATTAACATCCATGGTTTCAAAATAGTTTATTTAAAAAAAAATCTATTAAAATTTAATAAATTCTTAAATTTTCTTAAAACAGCCACTTATAGTTTAAAAACTTGAAAGGTCATTACCATGGGATATGTATCTAACCTCTCATTATTCAGAATGTGATGCTCCAGAGTCACTGATTGACCATCTTTTCTTTTGAAGTTTTTTTTAAATCCTCACCTGAGGACATTTTATTTTTATTTATTTTTATTGCTTTTAGACAGAAAGGAAGAGAGAGAAGCATCAACTCAGACCAGCAAACAAACCCACAACCTTTCAGTTTTAAGACAAGGCTCCAACCAACTGGGCGATGCAGCCAGGGCTTCTTTTGAATTTTCTTAAAACCAACGCTCACCTTTAATGAACAACTGGCCATGTTTACATTCAATTTTAGCAGAGTTCACATCCAATTTCAGCAGAGTTCCTCATCAATACCAACTATAAACTAGTAATCCTCATCAATGCCGATCCTCATCAATACCAACTATAAACTATTAATCCTCATCAATTCCAATGATAAACTAATTAATCTCATAAATACCAACTATAAACTATTTCAACGTTAAGTGTGCACCACTCAAGGACTTTATATTATTGGTATGTTAAAACATTACATTAGAATATTAATATCCTAATATTAAAGTCTCATCAGCAAAGCTTGGACTGAAATCATTTAATGATCAGGTCTGTTTATATTTTGTACAAAATCAGCAAACAAGCGTTGTCCTTTCTTTTTAGTCCCTTCCCCTCACGATCGGTTTTTGACGATTGGAACCTATAACTAAGCAAGTACAGCGAGATGCACTACAGAGTTAATCCCCTGTGTACTTTGCTCTCAGTTTTTCGTATACACACCTGTACTGAGTTGGGAAGCTCCTTGTGGGTAAAGACAGCTTCTTGCATCTCCTTTCAACGCCAGGTCCCTTCACTGACTTAGGGTGTTAGAACACTCAACCTTCGAGGCTTCTTCAGACCCCAAACCCTATAATCCTGGGAACTACTGAAGGCACAATTCAGCTTTTAACGGCATTATTTGTTCAATAGGTGCAGAAGAAATGTTTTCTTCTTTCAGACCAAGTCTAATTTGGGATGTTTGGGAACGGAAAATGAAACAAAACAAGAAAGGTATTTTCCAGACTCGCATGATCAAGAAAAAGTGCTCTGCAGTGTCCCCGGCGGCACCGGCGGAAGGGTTTGGCGCCCACCGCCCTCGACGCGGAACCGCGGCGGAAATTCGAAGTCTGTCTGTATTTGCTACCCCGGTGACCACTGGACAGACATGCGTCACTAACCGAGCGACAGAACCCCGGGTCCCGTTCGGCGGCGGCGGCGGTCGCTGCTGCCGGACACGCCGCTCACCGGTGGCCCGAGTTCTGGAAACAGGGCACCTGCCTCAGTGAACTCTTCTAACAAAGGCGGAATTCTGAACGAGGCGGACTCCACGCGTCCCCGAGGCGTTTCTTTTTGTACAATTATCCAGCCAACATCACCAATGTCTGAATACTGCATTACAAAGAGCAGAATAACTCCACAGCAATAATAGGTTTCCACGAATAACTGGGGCTTTCCAAAGGAAAATATATCTGTTTAAAAAGTGAAATTTTTATTGAGAGAGAAAAGCAAAACTGCAGCGCAAAAAGACAATGCGGGGGCCGTCTCCTATTTTAAGACGACAAACTAGCCCGACTGCAAATAACACCGCTAATCCACAACCGATGAAGAAAACGAGCCCTTAGAAAAAGTGCCTTCGCAAAAGTCTGGCGACGCGGCCGCGGCCGGTGGCGGTCCCCACAGCCCGGGCGCCACCTCGGCCCCGCCCCGCTCGGACCCTCAGGTCTGTCCCCGGTGGCGGCCGCTCCGGCCACAGGGCTCCCTCAGGCCCGGGCCGAACAGTACTCACCGCGAGTCTTGGGGCGGCAGGGGTGGGGAAGGGCGGCGGCGGACGGACACCGCGGTAAGGCCGGGAGAAAGGGGGTCGAAAGCCGCAGCCTGACCAGGCCCTCCAGCCCCCAGCTTCCACACCAGCGGCGGCCCAACACCGGCCAAAGCGCATTTTGCCCACCGGCACTTCCGGCAGCTCTCTAGGAATCCTGGTGGTCTGAAAGCTCTATGGTCGGCGCCCCGGGCTCCTCCTGCGCCTGCGCGTCGCAGGGTCGCGCGCTCCAGAGCAGGGAGGTGCGAGCGAGCCCTTGAAGGGTCCGCGGGGGGTCGGTTCGCTGGGCTCGCGTCCAGCCGGTTGTGTGCCCGTGTAGTCAGGTGTCCTTGTCCGTGCATACCCAGTCCTTGAGGAATTCCTGTTAACCATCGTTCTTAGTATAAAAGTCTCTACGGCACCTAGTAATAGTACACTTACACTATTACAATTCAAAAATAATTCACTGAATATAACTTCTTTACGGATCTTTAACGTATCTTCCACCACTTCCTACTTTAATGGGTTGCACTCGTTTACAAAACATGCTTTTGCAGTTTTGCCTTTTTAACGCCAAAACTAAGACGTAAGCTTCAGTGGTAGACTTCGATTTAATACCAGAGTTCGGGAAAACAGCGTTCATTCTTTACATACCTGTTGTATTAGTCTTAATTTTTCAGACTAAGTAGGATCTCGCGGGTGGAGGTTGTGGAAACTGTCTTTTCCTTTTGTTGTTTTGGTCCCACATTTTTATTCTTCAGCAAGTTTCCTACTCATCCATCTATTCTCAGTTCTCAGGTGCCCCTCCAATCTTCACCTTCGTTGTCCCTTTCCCTTCCTGCTGATAGCAACCAGCAAAGGTTCCATCCAGTGCCCAACAACGCTAACCCAGAAATATCCTGTCCAGATACTAGTTCTGATTTGTCTTTAAGGGTTCTGTCATCTAATCATCACAACAAAGCAAACACGGAGAAGGTTCAGTGCTTCCAGACTCTCAAAACACTCATCTTTGCTCTTTATTTCGTAGGTCTTGACTCCCAGCTGGCAACAGACTCTGCTGTTTCTGTTTTCACATTAGAAAAATAATTTTTAAAGCCCAAAGATGTAGTTCAGAAGTGAAATAACATCACGACCTTCGCAAAGATTTCTCAAAAGGCACTAATGATAATACAAACGTGATAAATTTGATTTCATCAAAATTTAAATCTTCTGCTCAACAGAAAACACCACTAAGAAAGTGTAAAAAAGCTCCAGACAGCAAAAAACTTGCAACACATATTTCCGACAACTGGTATTCAGAATATACTAAGAACTCTTATAACTCGGTCATAGACAAACCAGTATTAACATAGAATTTATTACACACTTTACAAAAGAATGTATATGAATGGCCAATATGTACCTGAAAGGGTATTCAACATCATTATACATTAGGGAAATATAAAATTAGGACAGCAGTGAGGTAGAATGGCTACCATTAAAATGGCTAACAATATCAAGTGCTGATGAGGATGTGAAACAACTGGAAACACACAGTGCTAGTGGGAGTGTATTGGTACAAGTAGTCTGGAAAAATGGCAGTTTTTAATAAAGTTAAATAACACCTACATTATGACCTAGGAATCTCACTCCTAGATATTAACCCAAGAGACATGAAGAGCTAAGTCCAGAGCAGATTCATTCATGGTAGGCCCAAACCAGACAAATCCAAAAGGTCATCAACATGTTCATACAATGAAATACTACCCAGAAATAAAAAAGAGCTACTGATAGGTGAACAATGTACACATATCCAAAAATATGTAGTCTTATATGAATGTGTTCAAAAATATGTGAAATTAACCTGTGGTGTTTATTTTTGATAGGGGTTGTGGCTACATGATTGCATACATATGTAAAAAATTTAAAACAATAAATAAAAAATTAAATATACTCTTAGGATTATGGCGTAAAAAACACCAGGCAGCAAGCGCTCCTCGCTAGAGATGGCCACTTTCACTGGTTCCTTTTACTTTTATTAACCTTCACATTTATTTATAAATAACATGCTAACACTGCCATTTCCTAATTCTCTATGTATAGATCATCTATATTACCTACTCACTTCCTGCTATGGAAAAATAAGCATTTAATTATTCTAAGCACTGCTGGAATTAGCCACACAAGGGATTAGAGGACACACTGTAAACTTCCCAGAGTAGCAGGGTCCAACAAAAGCTCCCACACCAGAGCACAAAAAAAGTTAAGACTTTTGTTACTGGTATTTTCTCTATTTGTATAAGCAGGGGACATGTTTCTACTAAGACACCACGTATTTTCCATACCTAGGGCCTGGGAGGTGTTCCCAGCCTCCTAAGTAGTTCTGAATGTTAGTTTCATAAGGACCACTTTATATATGGTATATGACCTAGCACAGTAATTCTCAAATATTGTATCATGGAGCCTTTTATGTTCTTAGAAACTAACAAAGAGCCTTGGCCAGTGTGACTCGGCTGGGTGTCATCATGCAAACCAAAAGCCACGGGTTTGATGCACATGCCTGGGTTGCAGATTCTGTCCCCCGGGGCCCATCCTTGGTTTTTCTCCCTCTTTCCCCCTCCCTTCCCCTCTCTCTAGACAATAAAAACCGGGGGTGGGGGTGGGGGTGGACCTAGGGAAGGCCTAGAGAGCTTATGTGGGTCATGATAATCAAAATTTGCTGTGTTCAAAATTAAAAATGAGGAATTGGAAAATATTCTGTAAAATAACAACATGCCCACTACATGTTATGTAACATTTTGTGATACTTAACTATATTTTTCAAAACAAAATTAGTAAGAGGAGTGGAATTAATTCAGTTTTGCAAATCTCTTCAACGTCTGCCATAATACAAGGTGGCTGGCCTCTCCCATGTTTGCTCACTCTCCTCTCTCTAAGGGCACTTCCTTCTACTCTCCATTTACCTGAATCTGACCCTTCTGATTTTCCTTTAATCAGAAGGCCTTCTCTAAGAACCCAGAAGTGGGATATGTAAAAATGAGAAAAAGGGAGAGAAAGCGGTATACAGGAAAAAACATGGGTTGTTTCAAGTTCACGTTGGAAGAGTGACATAACATCAACTTCTTCTCCCAAAAACCTACTTAAATGATGGAAAAACTAAAAAAAAAAAGTATATAAATTAATGAGCTAGAAAACAAAAAGGTCAAAAATTTTGAGGAATTTCTGGAAAAGAACCAGCAATTGGGATCACAGATTATTGAAGCAGCGGGAACTGCCATGCAAGACCCCAAGGCCTGGTGTGCATTTCCAGAGAAACCCTGAAGTTCCAACTTCAGGGCCAGCAGCTGCAGAGAAACAACAGCGGGCCATTCATCTAAGAAATGGATTTTGAACTATTAAATAGCTCCCCTTTCTAACTGGTAGCTGGGGCACCGTCCTCTACTTAGGAGTTGGTATCTGCTTTCTAAAACAGTTGGGGGTTGGGGGAGCTTTACTAAGAAAACAGAGGCCTAAGAAAGAAGCATAGCAAACTTTGCAATGACTCTGGACTTCTGCAATAGAGCAGGAGGAGGAAAAATAAAGACAGCACTGCCTCGGAGGAAGCACAATGAAGCTTTCCACCTTAGAGAAGGCGGCTCTCATTGCGGTACCTGAGTACATCCCCAGCCAGTCAGCTTGCTCCGCTCCCTCATTCTAAGGCAAGGCCTGCCTGTAGCCTGCTTCCCTACGACTTGCCCTCAGACTCCCAGTGGGGTAAGACCAGCAGCACAAGCAGCTTCCTAAAGGTGCAGGAACTCACACTACCTAGGTTGATCAGCTCGGGGTCTCGTACCTAAATATGAACAGGCACCCAGCAGTGGAGAATACTTCACGGAAATCATGAGCAGAACATGAAAGAAATCGGGTAAGGTATGCTAGCCTCATAAAATGGGTGGAGTGTAACCTCATTTTTGTTGTCTGGGAAGGATTATATAATATAGGACTTATTTATCCCTTGAATGTTTGGTAGAACTCTCCAATGAAACCGCCTGGACCTGGGATTTTCTTTCTCCTTCTTAAATTCAACTCCCCATGCAAACACCTTTGGATGTTATTAACCACATCTCCAATTGCCAAGTCATACAGTATTAAGAGGCTTCCTATTTAATGTATCCGAATGAAATGTGGGGATGAAGGAAAAATCGTGAGCCAGCAGGTTTGTCCTTTAAAATGTTGCTCTTCTCCATTAGTAAAACCACCATGCTCGGTTCCAATTACATCATACCTCATGAAGGGTTGCAGCGCGGGGACGCTTCACCCTACTCTAGTCCCTGTGTTTCCTAAGGACCGGATAAGTGCAAAAAAGAGACCAGTTTTCGTCTCCTTTCATCCGTGAGGTGCATTCAGGTCCCGAAGCAGTGACCGCCGGAGACCCCTCCCCAAGGTCGCGGACATCCGGCCGCCTCTGTCCGGAGCCCGCCCGCTCTCCGCTCCCGCTGGACCCGCGCGGGAAGCGCAGAGGGACCGACCGCCGCGGGGTCCCCAGGCAGGGAGCTGCAGGCCGCGGAGGAGTTTGTCCTCGGTCCCTTTCCGCTTCGTATGGAATCCCGGAGGGTCCCCAAGTCTGTTGTCGACAAACCGGCTGCCCGACAGTGTTCCCAGATTCCCAGACGGGAACGCCAGCGTTTCTGGACGCGGGAAAGGCCGGCCCCCTTTCTCAGTGCGCTGGCGACTCTGTCCACTTCCGGTGTGACGGTTCCGGTGCCCTGAGGGTGGGGCGGTGAGAAGGGCCGCCGGGGAGATCGGGCCTGAGGAGAGGAGAGGGGGGGGCTGTTCCACGCCGGCGCGGTTGGGGTTACCTCTTTAGGGAGCTCAGAATGGTGGTAATTGTGAACCTTACGGGAATTGTTTTAAAACACACGACAGCGAGGACGCAGTGAATTCACGGAGATCAAATACTGATAACGATGAAGCCGGTCTGAGGGGAAGACCGTGCCGAACGTGGCGCCGACGGCGGCCGCCAATTCTCGCCCAGACTTCAGATCGTGTCCCCGAGACCCGGCGCCGGAGACACGAGGACCTTCATCCCTAACAGGCCAAGCCGGTCCCGCGGGGGCGACCGTACCGGGTGCCGCGTCCGCAGACCGCGGGCTGCACGTGTCCGCCTCAGAGGGTCAGCTCCCCAGAAGAGCCTTTCTCGGCCCGTTTCCTGTCAACTCGCGGCAGAGCCTACGTCCGACTGACTCGTGCTGCGTGCCTCTTGCAGGTTTATAAGGGCAGGGATCTCGTTCACCTGGTGCCTCGCTGGATGCCCAGTGCTTGGGTAGGGGCCTGGCACGTAGCGCCGCTGAGCACAGGCTCGCGCAGTGCACGAGTGTGAGGAGCTGGGAGCCCTGACGGTGCGGCTCGGGCGGCGGCGTGTCCTGCAGGGTGCGGGGTTGCTGGCGCGGCTCCCGGTCCCAGGCCTCTTCCCGGGTACGGGCGCTTGTGAGAGACAACCTATCCATGTTTCTCTCCGTCTCTCTAAGAATAAGTGAATGAAATCTTTAAACAAACAAACAAAAAAACCCAAACAGCGCAGCACACACACAGGAGAAAAACCGTGCGGCAGAACGGGGGTGGTTCTCCACCGAGACGGCCGAGCCCGAGGGCGGGAGGACCTCGACCGGCGCTGCCTAATAACGCGGAGTCCAATGGGATCTACCTACAAAACCTCACATGTTCCAGTAGCCACATTAAAAAAGTAAAAAGGTGAAATCAATCTTAACATTTTGTTTAAACCAATATAATTTTAACATTAATCAATATGTAGAGATAAAATACTTTTTCAAACTAATTCTTTGAAAGCTGGTGTGTGTACGCTTACTGCAGATCTCAATCCCGATACTAAATTTTCATTAAGAATAATCTACATTATATAAAATTTAAAATGGATATTCATGTATCCAAATTACTCCAAACAAAGCTCTTCCAACAACTTGCCAGTTGTTTACTTTAAATATTTAGTTTCTTAGCTGCATAGCACCTAGTGGCTACTGTGACCGGGCGGTGCGTGTCTCGGTCAAGGATCTGCCTCGGCGCGGCCGGGTCCCCAGGAGAGGCAGGCGGCTGCCCCGGAGTCTGGGGGAGGCTCTTCACGCAGGTCACACTGCCGTACAGACTCCTCCCGTCCTGACGATTACTTTAGCACAATTGCTGCACAGAGTTTACGGACTTGGATTCATTTTGTGGGAGTAGGAAAAGGGCCCAGCAGCAAGGTCATATGCTCCATTTCTAAGGAGCGTTCCTGTCCATGAGGTGGAACAGTCATGGAGAACAGGTTATTTTCCTCTGAATCAGTGGTTCTCCCCTCAGGGGACACCCGCCACTCCCCCAGCACCTGTTAAGAAATTTTTGCTTGTCAGAGCAATTAGAGGCCAGGGATACTGCTAAACACCCCACAATGCAGAGGACAGCCCCCACAAGGACCTGTCTAGCTGAAAATGTCAATAACCTCAGTATAGCTCCCTCGAGGTGTTACTAAAGGGACAACAGGTTGCTCTGAACCATTTCAAAGTTTCCAGTTGCACTTTCGCTGTAGATGGACTTTTTGACTAGAGTATAAGAATTCCTGCTCCGGATGAACACGTAGGCTCATTCAAGTAAATGTAACATCAAGAATATGTGCTGTGTACATAAGACTGCAAAGCGCTTGGGGATAAGGAGCCAGTCTGTTCATCTTTGCATGGCTCTATCATGTGATCCTTCATCTCAAACATGATTGAAGCCAATATTAGAATTATTCACCATTCTCCTCTTTCCCTATCATCATCTTATTCTTTGTGCCTTTCCCTGTATCCTTGTTCCCTATTCTTTTCCCTCCATCTCTTCCTCCTGTTTTCCCTCCTCCGCCAGTGCCCACATCCCTCACTCACCTCTTTCCTCCCTTCATGGCTGTTGGCTCCTCACAACTACCAGTCATACCATCTCTGCCTATGAGTTGCCCTCACAGTTAGCTGCCTCCTCCGATCACAACTGTCCAGTTAGTTCAGGAAAACTACAAACTGAGTTCTTGCCTCCCTTAAAAGAAAAATCCAAAAAGATGGGAGAGCAATTACTGGAGTTAACTGTCTTCCTTGTTCGGGGTTGTTTTAGAGCAGGTGCCGCCCACCCAGGATGACTCTGCTGGAACCCAGTGGTTCTGATTGTGTCCAACACATTAGATCTTCTCTCCCAATAACTGTGCCTGTGACTGACGTCAACTCTTCTTTCCAGCTGGTCGCACCTTCACCCCGTGTCTCCTGTGGGTCTCCACAGACCTGTGAAGACAGTGCCTGTCCTCCTGGTACCAGCCCTGCCCGGCCCTCCTTTAACCTCACGCCTCCCTTGTCTCATGCCTGCTGTTGTCCCAGACCCCACTGGGCTCTCCTCTCCTGACATCCCCCCAGAGGTCCCTGGCCCCACAGCATTCTGTCCCGACTCCTATCACTGCCCCTCTAGGGTGACAGACACTGGAGTGATTCCAGCACTTTGGAATCAACACCAACAACAGCAGACACAAAAAACACAATGCAAAAGCAAGTATACAAAGTTGTCTTTTAATGAGAAATTAGGTCACTCCCTGATGGCTCTGGTGCTGGCTGTTCTTCAAACGCGTGGGTCCTAATAGTTGGACCGTGTTGCAGGTTCGACGGTGCTGGGCCCATGCCCTCAACTCCTGTCCTGCCACTCTGTTCACGCACATGAAATGCTGGCGTGTCTTACAGCCCTGGTGTCCCAGGCCTCCCAGTCTCACTAGTGTAGGTGACCTGACAGGGATGCTGCCTTGTAAAGGCAATTGCACTCTTCACAGAGATGAGGTAGTAACTTAAGCTTTCAATTTAAACTATTAGGTTATTACATTTACTTTAACAATCATCTTCCTCCAATTAGAATAACCCTCCTTTTTTATGGCTGAAAAAGTACCTTATTACTAAATTGTTTTCTTCTGGAGTGTTTGTACTTTACTTCCTGCTGTCACTGCAGCCTCCTCCGGTGTCACTTTTGCTGCCTCCCCGAACTCAGAATCGCAGTATCAGAGCTGGAAGGTGCCTTACCTGTGGTGGATGGGGACAGCAATGCCCCTTAGAACTTAGTGATAAAAATGGTCTATGCCTGTGCCATCCAATACAGGAGCTGCTCCCTACGTGCAACTGCTGAGCACTGAAATGTGGCAATGTCACTAAAGAACTGACTTTCCCATTCTATTTGTGTTAAGTTTAATTTCTGTAGCCACTTGTGGAGACTGGCTGCCACACCGAAGAATGCAGTTCCAGACCAACCTCTCCCATGTGCCTCAGTTTACAGCAGCGATTTTCAACCTCTTTCAGCCTGAGGCACATTTGTAAGCTAAGTACTAAAATTCTGCGGCAACCAAAAATATTTTGGCGATCTGATAAAAAAATGGGTATAATTTTGATTCATTCACACCAGGCAGTTATTGGTTTGTTGGCTGTTGTCATTTTTTTATTTGACAATCTAAGGAAAAAGAGGTCTCTGCCCAACTAAATAGTAAGGTATTGCATGTTTTCAAAATTCTTGTGGCACATTGGTTGAAAATCGCTGGTTTATACTCAGAAGAGAAGTAACTTATCTGAAGTCCAGGGTTCCTAACACACTCATTACACCCCTGGCCGCCCTGTGCCAGCAGCCCCTGCTCCTCACTTGCTGCTTTCCTTCCCATTTTGTTGTCTTTAGCCTGCCGACTTTTCTCATGGTTTCCTGTTTTTTAATCATTGGCAGAGAAAAAAAAAATGGCACGACATGGTTATGTCCCCCTACTGCAGATAAAAAAAAGGAATATTTAGGTAATTAGGTCATTACATCAATAATGATGGTAAAGAAATAGTACTGTTGTAGTTATTAATTTCAAAAGCAGTTTTCATCTATTTCAACCTAATACCTAAGCGGTGGGTCCGCTCCACCATCAGCTCTTCACAGAAAAAACCTGCAATGCCCTTGCCGGATTCTGTGGTGCCAGGGAAATTTCTATTGATGATCGAAGCTTTGACTACACTCAGGATACTCGTAAGGTCTCAAATTAGACCTGAGCAGCTAAGGAGCTGCTGTTACCCCTTCTCAGTAGTTTTTTTGCTGCATGAATTCTTTGATGTCTAGTAAGGGCTGAACTTACCCAGAAGGGTCTCCCGCACGCATGCATTCTCGGGCTTTTCACCTGTGTGGATTCTCCGATGCTGAGTAAGACCTGAGCATCCACTAAAATCTTTCCCACATTCTTCACATTCATAGGGCTTCACCCCAGTGTGTACTCTGTGATGTCCGATGAGGTGTGAACGCTGATTGAAGGTTTTCCCACATTCCTCACGTCTGTACGGCTTCTCTCCAGTGTGAGTTCTCCTGTGCTTACTAAGGGCTGAGCTGCGACTGAAACTTTTCCCACAGTCGTCACATTCATAGTGTCTCCTTTCCCTCTGTCGCTGCTCTACTCTGCCCTCACTTCAGAAGCACCTTTGGATTTGGGATGTTGAACGTGTTTGTTCACTCTGTTATTTGCCTTCCCCAAAATTCCATGTTCTTGGGTATATCTTCCTTCTGGGACAACTCTTCATTCTCAGTCCCGGTTTTATCACCTGCAACAAAAAGGCCCTATTTTAGATCTGAGAAGCAGAGAACTAGGGAAGACATGACATACAAGTGTTACAAATGTATTATTAAAAAACAAAAAGTCACACATATACAAATTAGGTATTTGGCACCATCAAAAGATAATGAAGAGAAAGGGAAAAAGATGGCAGCAGGATACAATATTGGGACGTCGATGAGGAAGAGAGGAAAAGGCAGAAATGTGGTTCAAGGGGTTACCTGGCAAACCCGTGCACACGCAGAGTGGTTAATGTACACGGGGACCGCAGATGTGCCGAGGGTAAATAATAGAGACGTGGGAGGGGTGTGGTGAGTAGGAACCATCAGAGGAGGAAGCAGCAGGAGGGGACAGTGGGCGATCTTGCGCATGTGCTGGGTTGAATCCTTTTTTCTGAGAGTACCAGTCCTTACCTTGTGTCCTGTTGGGGGAAGCGACCATGTCTGGCTGACTCCTGGCTTCAATGACACCCCCCATCTGCTCCTCTACGTCTCCAACACCTTTTACAGATTCCTCCTCCACCCAAACTTACCTGAGGTTCTTTTACTATATTATAAATTGTTCCTGGTCGGCCTGCGCTGCACCCATGTCTTCTGGCATCTAGCCAGATGAATGCCAAATCTCCGCCTTCTCCTACACCTTTCTCCCAGAGCTAGAACATTAATTTAAACTACACTGCCTGCTGGGTTTTACTTACTTAGATGTTTCACAGGCACTGCAAATTCACAAGTATAAAAACTGAATTCAGCTCTGGCCAATGTGGCTCAGTTGGCTGGAGTGTCACCCTGTAAACCAAAAGGTCACAGGTTTGATTCCCGGTCAGGGCACACACTTGGGTTGCGGGTTTGGTCCCCGGTCAGGGTGTGTGCGAGAGGCAACTGATTAGTTTTTCTCTTGCATCGCTGTTTCTCTCCCTTTCTCTCTTACTCCCTTCCCGTCTCTCTAAAATCAAGCATATCTTCGGGTGAGGATTAAAAAAAACCCCAAAAACCTGAATTCATGCTAGCTCTTACACACCCACACCCTTATTATAAGGGGAAGCCTTATTCCTGCACTGGTGGACCATTCTTTGTATTTGAGAGACGTCTCCCCCACCCCTGGTATCAACGTCTTTTTTCTCTACTAAAGCTGTTATTTCATTTACAGACTTTGGGAAGTAGAGGAGAAAACGATTTAATTATCTTGAAATATTCTTTGTCTATGTTGGCATATAATCCTTCCAACCCTTTTCTATGTAATTTTAATAAAACGGAGTCACAGACAGTGATTTTTGTCACCCACTTCTCTACTTAGAACACCGGAACAGACCTCTGTCTGATGGCATCAAGCTCGGTGTCCACAGCATGATGCTCTGGAATCTTCACCACTGGCCTTCGATTTTCCCGCCCACAAAATTCTCTACATTAAAACCAAACTCAGAGCTGCTCTTAGGGCGTGTGATGCTCTTCTGCTTCTTTCCCCCTCGGCTCTCTTTGCCTGGAACGTCTCCCATCTCAGCTCGCGCACACACTGACGCCTCGCAGGCCCGCCACGGGGAGCTGCCTGGACTCAGGTGTCTTCTCTTTTATCACTTCTCTCGTGTGCCTGGCACAGAGCTGCTGCGCAACAAATGTTCAATGGAAGAGGCGTGAACGGAACAGGGTCTCATCCTCACCTCTAAAGCCAACCAAGAGCCAACGCTCCACTTTTAAGCACTAAAGACTTCTCTAAATCATATATAAGTAAATGCTGTGCCTTCCAGATGTTGGCCAGAAATAGCTTAAAATAACCTTTCAGATTAAACAAACTGCCTGGCAGGGACCCTGGAGAATGAGAGAACCATACCCGTGAAATTTAAAGTAGTGAGGATGGAGCCAAGGACACGAGTGTCCCCTGCACAAGGGACGGGGCACTGGAAGCAGAGTTTGGGTAAACTGGGTAAGATCTGAGCGCTTTACAGTGTAGCCTGAGGATACACTAGACACCCTGGTTTTAATTAGTGAACTAATTAGTGGGATGAGGAGCAAACCACAACCAAAACCCCGTCAGCCTAACAGGCACACACAGACAAAAAACAGGCTTTGCCGACTGACTCGCTCTCCTCTCCACTTCTGCTCGCACGGGGGTGTGGTGTGGACCGAACGGTGCTTCCCCAATTCATATGCCGTAGTTCTCACCCCCACTGGGACTGTATTTCGGAACAGGGCCCTTAAACAGGTAATGAAGGTTGTAAGGATGGGGCCCTAACCCAGCAGGTACAAGAAGAGGGAGTGGCACCGGGACTGCGTGGGCACAGAGAAGAGGCGGTGGGGGACACAGGGGAGCCCTCCCCAGGGGAGCCCTCCCCAGGGGAGCCCGGCCGGCCCTTGGGCTTTCCAGCCTCTGAAACGGAGGAAACGGCTTCTGTGGGTTAAGCCCCCAGCGAGTGGTGTTCCACTCCAGCAGCCCTCACCGACTAATACGAGGGGTCATGCAAGACCCCTGCTCAAAACGGAAATGTAAGGTTCTCCGGAGATGGAATCGTCAGGTAACAACAGGGTATTAGGTATTAACTTGAATGAAAATGTAAGTACCACCCCCCACCTGTTATACCAAATAACAGCTTTTAAGTTTAATGAGACACTGAAATATAATTTCCATGATTGGGCAAGGGTGGGAAGGGGATAACATTTCCCACAAGGAGGTAGAGGACAAGGAGGGAAAACTGGAAAGAAGAAGGTGAGAGTGAGCTCCTCTACCAGAGGCACCTCGTCCCTCACACAGCAAACTTGCTTCTTACCGTTCCCCTGGGGCTCCTGCCGAGTCTTCCTGGGGGAGAATGGGGCAGCCCCTGACTCCCCTGGCCTTCCCGAGGGGGCGCAACTTGTCCAGGGGTGTGTCCTGTCTTTCTGACTGGGCTCAGACCTGGGAACAATGAAGCATGATCAGACTCGTAAGATAGACTTTTCTGAAAGAACTGCAAGAACTTCAGAGAAAAGGTCAAAAGGAACATCTTCCAGGGACCATGAATATAAAAAAAGGGACAGATTCTTATTAAGAGGTGGCAATAATGACTATAAAGGAAGAGAACTCTATGGTTCTGGACACCGAGAGTGACCGACATTCTCACAGCGATGTGCTGAGGCCCAGGACCTCAGTCCTGTAGGTTGGGAGCCATGGAGCCCAGCTCCCACCCAGTGGGCATTTCTTGGGTCACTGCTGACCTGTGTGACAGTCACTGGCGAAACGTGGTCACTGAAAACCTCAAACAGGGCCAGTAAAAACCGAGATCTACGAAGTGTAAAATACACATCAAATTTTGAACATACCGAAAAAGGGTAAGGTATCTCAATTTTATATTGATTACATATTTTGGTTTACCTGAAATATACTATTTATGTTCACTTGTTTTTATTTAAATGTTGCTCACATTATATTTCTGTTAGACAGTGCTGTTCTGTAATATCCTTGACATTTACTAACCCTAAGCTGAGTACTCCTCTGGGAATCGAAATTGTTTCATTACAAGGTGGCTCATTTTTTTATACGTAGCTGTGAATGTCAGAAAATTGTTTTATGGACACACATTTGCCTTCCTCTAACTTCTCCCCTGGCGTCTCCTCCCAGCGCCCCACCCCTCCCAGCCTGTTCTTCTCCAGGGTCACACGTTCAAAACTCGGGCTGTTCTGCCCGAAGCCCTCTCTCGGCCGCTCCACACGCTCTGCCTCTCACAGCCCCTTCCCACCTGCTCCGGGGGTTCATCGAGCTCCCTCTCCAGATCCGCCAGCGCAGCGACCGCCTGCTCCCCGGTCTAGGATCTGCTCCTTCGTGTAGCGTTCTGGCTGCAGCCACAGCCGGCAGAGCTCGCGGAGCCGGGCCAGGGCCTCCCGGGGCCCCGGAGCGTCCTGAACAGCTGCCGGCAGAGCTCCCGTCCGCGCGGCCCAGCGCAGCCCCGGCCCCCGCAGCGCTCTCCTTCTGCCGCCAGTGCCGGGCCTCGCCGTCCCCCGGGGGCCAGGCCTGTGGGCATTCTGTGCCCATTCTCAGGAGATCAGTCTTCAGCTGGGGATCGATTCGAGGAGACTCTTGGAATCTCCTCTCTGAGAAATAACGAGCGGCGAACACCCGAGTGGAGGCTGAGCCCGCAGAGCGGTCCCAGCGGGGGCGGGGCGGGCCCGGCCGACGCGGTCCGGCCTCACTCGGCGCAGGTCAGACCTCCAGTCCCGTCTGGTCCGTCCAACTCTGAGCAGCAGCTGTGAGCCCGACGCCCACCTGGCGGCTTGGTGGTGCTGCCCCAGGACCGCTCGCAGCCGCGGTCCCCGCTCCGTCCTCTCCAGGACGTCACCAGGAGCTGGGGATGCGGGAAGGTGTGTCCAGTCCCTACCCAGGACCCGCCCGCCGCCCCAACACGGTCCGGCACGGAGACCAGCGACAGCGTGTCCTGGGTAGGTCGGGACACCCTCCAAAGACCAATCAGCCCTCTGGCCGCTCTAGGAAGCCCGTCTCGGTGGCAGCCCCGCAGGTGGAGGGCCCGGCTGGGGTCCATTGCAAGCATGGCTTTAAAAATCTTTTCCCCTCTGAAGCACTATTAGTAAAGAATGCATTCACAAAGTTCGATATTTAAAAGGAATCAGTGTCTCCCAGCATCTAGTTTTGACCAATGTTTTTCACAACACGTATCACCCTCACTTCCTTCTACACAAATGACAGCATTTCTACATCTCCCCCGCCCCGCGCCGCTCTTGCTCTTAAAAACAAAACAAAACAAAAAAAACCCCACAAAAAACCCAACTACATAACATTCGACTGTATGTGCCACAAGTTTTAATTACCCTGTTGATGTCCATGTAGGTTATTCCGATCTTTTCCTTTTCAGACGCAGCTGCAGTAAATCACTGTGACCAACACTTTTATCCCGTGCAAGGGCAGGCCCATGGCAAGCGTTCCTAGAAAGAGAATGACAGAGCAGGGTACCGGCATCTGCACTTTTAGTGCCAAGACACTGATCGTCGAATTCACTACAATGCTACCTACATACTTACCCACACGTTATAAATACTTTGACCTTTGACAATCTGATGGGTAACAATTCTTTTCCTACCTCGTTACCTTTCTTACACAAATATCGATTGTTCACCATTCATCTACTATGTCAGGCACTGTTCTAGAAGTTGGAACTACAGGTTTTGTCCATCAATTGTCCTTTTTCAATTCTGATCCCATCACCTGAGATGACAAGCATAGCATTCAAATGTCACTGAAATACATGGGAAATAATATTATTATGGTGCCACAGTGCGCTGTATGCTATCAGCATGTAGCACGTACTAGAGGCACATGGCTCAATATATCAACAAAATGGGAGAAAACTGGGAGATTGCAAATGTGAGAACTGGGTGGAGTCATTCCAGAAAAGGGTGAAAAAAGATCAGGAACAAGAGTGACTCGATGAAAAAGCACAGCACAGAAGAGAATCAAAGGCCCAAGGGTTCAGCAGGGAGGCCAGACGTCCAGAGGACACTGATGACAGAGCAGACTGTCGGAGGAGGAAAGTGACCGTGCAGGGGGTTGGGGACAGACAAACATCACTACTTCAACCTCGCCAGGAGACACCAGGAACCTGTCAGCCTGAAGCCACAGTGCGGGTCATTCAAGACTTGCCAGAGCAGGTCCTTCGCCAGACCCCACAAGCCAGCCTACCCTGACCCAAGAATTCCTCTGCCTGCGTTTCCTGCGAGGTCCTCTGGGCCAAGTCCTGGCACCCCAGGGGGGACAAGTTGTCACTTCCTGAATGGTCATTAGTTTCCAAAAGAAAGTGAGATTGTCCTACTCACGAATATTTTCTTCTAGGTAATCCCATTTTAGGACTCAGAGTGAAAGACAGAATCTGTAATCTTGAACAGCACAGGAAAAGCAGTATGCTTTGAGTTGATTAGAAACATTAAAAAAGGGGGGGAGGGGACCACCGTGTTAACCACTAATGAATGAGGGCACAGTGAAGTCAGACCTAATCTGGGCAGGGCAGTCAGGGGCTCCAATGGAAGAGGGTCATGATGGATGGGGAGCTCAGGGGGTCCATGAAGGATGGAGACCAGAGATGAGGCTCAGAAGGAACATTGTCGAAAGGAGATGAGCTCTGGCCAGTGGGGCTCAGTGGGTTGGGTGTCGTTCCACGAAGCAAAAGGTCGCTGGTTCGATTCCTGGTCAGACCACATGCCTGAGTTGTGGGTTCCATTCCCAGTTGGGACGTGTGTGAGACACAACTGATCGATGTTTCCGTCCCTCTCTTTCTCCCTCCCTTGCCCTCTCTCTAAAAATAAATACGTTTAATCTTAAAAAAAAAAAAAAAGAATTGAGGGCAAGTTATTCAAACAAACATGATTATTTACAACTTTTATCTTCCAGGGCAAGGCTTCCCTGGGACAGTAAAGTCATGTTGACAAGCAATGTGGAATGTCATATTTAGTGAAGACAACTGACATATATGGTTTCGGTTTTCCATGTAACAGCAGATTTAGCAGGGCCACTGGTTTACAGAAATGTGGATTATCCACTGATTAGCATGGGCTGCCATTAGTCCCAGCTGAAATCCTGTCCTGTTCTCCTACATGGCGTGGCTTAATCTCTCTAAACGTTTATTTCCCCCTGTAAAAATATGTTAGAGAAAATTTCCCCGAAAGGTAAAGAACAATTCTATACTCTTCATCCATAACCATAGCACAATTAGAAAAGCAGGAAGATAGTGTTACAATGAGACTAACTAAACTAGAGGCCTTACAGAGGTGTTTTGAGAATAACTACGGAAAGCATGAAATCCATGCCTGGCACTTAGTAAAACCCATTAGTAAAGGGCTACTGGCTGCAAAGCGACCGGGCCATCCAGGCGCTTGGCCCCTCGGTTTCTGGACACACAACTTCGGACAGTGCAAGGGCGCCCTCTCGTGTCCTCTCTGCACTTGCTTCCACTCGGCATCTTTCAAACACACCTTCAACCTCCCCAGCCCTTGGAAAAAGGCTGTTTCAGGAATCAGTCAGGTAAAGAACATTAGGCCGCTTCTTAATGTTGCCTTCCACTAGTTTAGGTCTTCTAAACAATAAAACAATACAGTGAGTTAACCAGCCAGCCTACACCACTTTCTCCATTTACCCTAAACGCAAACCAAACTGGCACATCATCGAACAGAACCACCACAAGCCCCGGACTCAGGGAGGTTTGGTCGTCCAATCCGATTCCAATCCGGAGAAATTTCTCTTATAAACCCTAACCCAACGAAAGCATCCAAGATCCCAGGCCGAAAGAAACATTAACAGAAGTTGTGCCCGGAGCAGTGCATCCAATAATCCAGTCCGGGGGAAGAGCTCTCCTAATTTGCGTCCGTCAGTGCACCCTAGAATTTTGCCCGGAGGAAGTGCTCATGTAAATTGGGCCCGGCGGAAGTGCTCACGTAAATTGCGACCGGCGGAAGGGCTCAGTGACTTGAACAAAGCGGAAGTGCACTCAAAAATCCGGTCCGGAGGAAGTGCTTACGTAAATTGGGCCCGGAGGAAGTGCACTTACGAATCCGGTACGGAGAAAGTGCACTCAGGATTCCGATCCCCAGGAAGTGCTCAGTAAATTCGTACCGGACTCAGCTCCGCTAAAGTGCACTCGCAAACTCGCTTGGCCCGCTCCTCACCTCCCTGCCAACCGTGGCCCTCTCCCGCTCCTTGCGCCTCCTGGCCGCCACGCAGCCAATCGCAGGGAGGGTGGCGGGTCGGGCTAGCGATGAGTGGGCTGCGCGCCCGAGCGCTGTCTCGCGGGCAGAGGAGAGAGAGGGGACCGAGTATGTTCAAGCCTCCGTTGTCCGTCGTGAGTCACCGCTGGAGGCCGGCACTTTCGAAGTGGGGGCGGCAGAGCGAACGGGGTTCCCCTACCCCCGGGGCAGGTGTCTCACGTTCTCTTAATTGTTAAAGTGACCTCAGCGTGCTTGGAAACTTTTGACTTTAGTTTCCTAAGTCTCTACCAGAGATTTTTATTATCAGAAAGGGAAGGGATATAAAAGGGAAAAAACCCCAGGAATCCGCGGGGGCGTGGGTCGGGTCCAGACTCGGTCACCGGTCGGCCGTGGTCCTGACCGAACCGGACTACCGAGCCCCGGGACGCGGAGAGCTGGCTGGTGGCGCAGGTGATGCTCAGATTATTTTGGGAAAAGCCTGGCCAGATGCCGAGAGTGACCGCTGTTTTACTGTAACTCGGGTATCGGGGAAACAGCGGGTACACACGGCAGGAATCGAAGGAGAGTGTTAGGAGATGGGTCTTGGCCTGAGGAGCCCACAGTCCATCTGGGGAAACGGTGTCTGGCGCTTAGAAGTTTCTAATAGGGGTTTGGACAAGGCAGGACAACATAGCGTTAAAGGTATTAAATTACAGAACCTTTTAATCCCCATACCCCGGGGGGGGGGGTATCTCTCGTTTTGTCGTGTTTTTGTTATTTAATTTAACTTGAAGTAAAGAAAAATTAAATTTTAAAAGATCATTATGAATTTTACTGTTGGCCTTTATATTGTGCACTGCCAGTTTAAATGCAAATATAAAAGCATTTAAGTTGTACGTGGATTCACCAAAATTACACACAATTTATACCTGAGCATCCCACAGAGAGGTGGGCAAAAGTAGGTTTACAATTATAACACAAATAATACAATTACTAAATAATAATACTAGGCTAGTCTTTCGCGTACTCACAACTGTAAAGGGACCTTTGCCCACCCTGTATGCTCAGTGAAAACGCTGTAACACTGAAGGGTCGCTCTTGACAGACACACATTCCACCTGATGAGCAAACACTGAGGACGGGACCAGAGCGGCTCTCCTTCCTTTTCCTTTGGTGTTGCCATTTTGGGTGAAGTTGCCTAATGCAGGGAACTGACAGGAATAATAAAGAATGTTGTTGGGCTCCTTGGCTGTTCCTGTTTCTTAGACGCTGCCATTTACCACCTTTCTTTCAAGCAAGTCCTGAATGCAGCAGAAAGTGTGGTCTCACCTGGCTG